GCACTATCTACTCAGGGAGGTGCGAGGACATTTTGAAAATGGAATGTTTTTTAGGACGATTCAGACTTTTTGCAGATTGTTCTTGCTAATTAAGTTGCAATCATTTGCAAATCTCAGTCTCCATGATGTCCTCATTAGCATGAAGAAGACTAAAATATTTGCAGATATTCTTACAGAAAAATGCATTTCATAAGTGTGAGTTATATTTGTGTTCAGCTGACAGAATTCATTACAAAACAATACTTCACACACATATGGAAAACAATAAGGACATATTATACATTACGAATAAATTGCAGTTGATGCTGAAATACATTCCAAACACTAACATGTCTTTCAGAATATATTACTATATTAACCAAATATGTTTTAAAATACATTTATTTTAAATGTATGGGGAAACATTACATACATGTTCCATACAAAAATAAATGTATGTAAATGTGTTTTTCTAATACATTTGAAAATATATGAATATAGCCAAAATCCTGTCTTAAGCACTTTACAGTCTGATACCTTTTGAAATTGTATTCCGGTATCTTCATTTTAAATATGATCAAATGAACCTGTAACATGACAAAAGCGAGTGTTGTAGGTATTGATACTCTATAAAAATGCAGTTATGATTTGATATCTTGTTTATTTGAAATACATCGTGTGTGAGTGTCTTACTGCATACGTACATGGTTAATATAAAGTACAATGCAGATCACAGAAGTCAGTACTGTTTAGTTACATCTGTATCTACACACAACTGAACAAATATAATAACAAATACAAAATTATGCATTTTAAAAAATATCTAACAAATATATTTTTTTGGCCATTTTCATACGTTGCAAAAATATGCTTGATAAACATGTTTGTAATATATATTTTTTCCATATGGGTAGGGCTCTCATTTCCATAATCGAGGGTGCTCAATGGAAAAAGGGCAGCATGGCTGTGAAGGACATTGACCTTAATTTACAACATAGCTTGTCTGTTTCAGAGGACACAAACTGTAGCCTAAAATTAGGATGTCTGTGTCAATATGGGGAACTGAATCTCCAGCCTGTGACACAAAACGATGCATGAAAGTAGATCTCCAGAATGAGGGTTGGTAGCTGACTGTATGTGGTATAAATAAGCAGGTGGTCTCTTTACGAGCTCCACAATACTTTACGCTGGCTTAGTAAGTTATAAGCACCCCTCACTTCTTACATTATGTTTGATATCTCTCTCTTTTCCGTGCTCCACAGAGAACTTCACGAATCCTCAGCATCCTCTGGACCAGGGCACAGGGTGAGTATGTCAGAGAAAAAGAATGAGACATTTAATCTATGCATGATGCTCCAGCAGTTATTACAACTCCATTTCCAAAAAAGTTGGGACTCTGTGCAAAATATAAATAAAAACAAAATGCAATGATGTGCAAATCATTTAAACCCTATATTTAATTGAAAATATTACAAAGACAACATATCAAATGTTGAAACTTCATTGTTTTTTGAAAAATACATGCCCATTTTGAATTTGATGCCAACAACACATTCCAAAAAAGTTGGGACAGGGGCAACAAAAGATTGGTAAAATAATGCTAAAAAAACATCTGAAGGTTAATTAGCAACAAGTCAGTAGTTACATGACTTGCATCTCAGAGAGGCTGAGTCAGAAGTAGAGATGAGGAGAGGTTCACCAACAATTCAAGAATAACGTTTCTCAACTTAAACTAGCTAATAACTTTTGCTTTTTATCATCTACAGTACATAATATCATTAAAAGATTCAGAGAATCTGGAGAAATCTCTGTATGTAAGGGACAAGGCCAAAAACCAGTATTTTCTGGCCGTGATCTTTGGGCCCTCGAGTGGCACTGCATTAAAAACGATTCTGTAGTGGAAATCACTGCGTGGGCTCAGAAACACTTCTGAAAACCACCGTCTGTGAAAACAGTTTGTTGCTGCATCCACAAATGCAAGTTAAAACTCTAAAACACAAAGAAGAAAGCATATATAAACAGGAACCAGAAACACCGCCGCCTTCTCTGGGCCTGAGCTCATTTAAAACAGACTGAGGGGAAGTGGAAAAGTGTCCTGTGGTCTGACAAATCAACATTCAGTTCAAAAGCCAGTATTCATGATGGTATAGGGTTGCATTAGTGCGCATGTCATGGGTGATGTGCACATCTGTGAAGGCACCATTTATGCTGAATGATATATACATGTTTTGGCAACATATGCTGCCATCAAGACAACATCTTTTTCAGGGAAGGCCTTGATTATTTCAGTAAGACAATACCAAACCACAAAACAATGCCAAACAGCATGTCTCCATATTAAAAGTGTCCGGGTGCTAAACTGGCCTGCCTGCAGTCCAGATCTGTCACCCATTGATAACATTTGGTGCATTATGAAATGAAAAACATGACAAAGGAGACCCCGAACTGTTAAGCAGCTGAAATCCTATATCAAACAAGAATGGGAAACATTTCACTTTCAGAACTACAACAGTTGGTCTCCTCAGTTCCCAAACGCTTACAGAGTGTTGTTAAAAGAAGAGGTGATGAAACACAGTGGTAAACATGCGTCTGTCCCAACTTTTCTGGAACGTGTTGTTGGCATCAAATTCAAAATGTGCATATATTTTTCAAAAAACAATAAAATTTCCCAGCTTCAGCATTTGATATGTTGTCTTTCTACTATTTCTCTTTAAAAATATGGTTTACATGATTCGCACATCTTTGTATTCTATTTTTATTTACATTCTGCACAGCGTCCCAACTTTTTTGGAAATAGGGTTGTATTATTATTGTAACTTGTAAAGCTCAGTTCATTTATTTTTGAGATGCAGCCTTATAGTCTACGCATTTTTTGGGTTCTTTTATTATTATGAGCCATAATCACATGTTTGCCAGGAGCAATAGGGCTGGGCAGTATGATAATATACATCATTATCGTGATAAATGATGTCACAGTAGAGCACAATATGCTTTTCTGAACACATTGTGTATTTCGTAAGTACTTGTAGACACTGACCAAATGCATATTTTATTATAAGGAGAGCGAGCAAAATTAGTCCTGTTTAACTGGATTTACTGCCACATCTTCAATAAAAATAATTGTATTCATTTGTATTGTTTGATAGTATTTTTTAAGATGTAGCACTACTGGCTCTTTTTTCTGAGATCCAACTGATCAAACATCTGAAAAAATAAATATCATGACGTGCGTATTGTGAAAATTTCTTGATGCATCACAATATTATGTTTTTGCCATATCGCCCACCTGTAATCCTTTTTTTTATGTTTTTAAATTTATTTAATGTGCTCTAAGAAAATGGCTTGTGCCAGTTATCCCTTCTATAAGCACTGTTGAGTGTTTTGGCAGAGTGTTTTCTGAATTACCAATAAATAAATTATTAGCATTTCTTTTCTAATTCTTTCCTTTACATTGTGAGATCAACCAGTTTAAAAACATATTACAAAACGACCAGAAATCAACAGAAACACTTAATGGTTTCTATGGATGACATATTTCAAACATGGTTATAATTTGTACTCTCCCACTCTCCCACAGGCCTCAGGAACCCACAAAGGTGTGCTTCTAAACTTCTCCTCTTTCAGACTGGGATGGAAAGTGAAGGAAATGACAGAGAGAGATCATCCATACTGAATATTAGAGTTTTCCTCAGCTCTTCCTCTTGGGCTTTGGTGTATTGTTCCTCTTTGGAGGTTTATAGCTGTGCTGTCTGCTCCTCAGGTTTTTAATGACCCTATCCATGGCCATATCGAGCTCCATCCTCTGCTGGTTCGTATCATTGACACTCCTCAGTTCCAGAGGCTGCGGCACATCAAGCAGCTCGGAGGAACATACCTGGTGTTTCCTGGAGCTTCGCACAGCCGCTTTGAACACTCAGTAGGGTGAGGACGAGTCGAATGCCTTAAACATTTTTATAGCTTAACTAACCTGATTGTACTCATTTATGGTGCTGCAATGTTGACTGGAGCTTTATGGTTGTGTTTTGCAGGGTTGGGCATTTGGCAGGTCGCCTCGTTCGAGTTTTGAAAGACAGACAGCCTGAACTCGGCATAAACAAACTAGACATCCTGTGTGTTGAGATCGCAGGGCTGTGCCATGATTTAGGTGAGGAATCAACAGGCTCCTTCTCAGAATGTCTCCCCATAAGGACAAAAAAATATTCCAAATGTATTTATCAAATATGTTTTTGCAATGTGTGAAAAAGGCCAACATGTGTACTTGTTAGATACATTTTTAAAATCATTCATTTATATTTTGTGTTTTATTTTTTGATTGTATGTAGTTTAACAAGGGTTACAGATATAACTAAATACACATGAGCTGAATGAACAGCACTAAGTTTGCAATAACCACTGTAAGCATGCAAGCATTTATACCATTATACCATTAGAACAGCGTTTATACAAAATGTATTTCAAATAAACAAGACCTCAAATCATAACTGCATTTTCACAATATCAATACCTACAACACTCGCTTTTGTCATGTTAAAGGCTCATTTGCTAATATTTAAAAAAGAAGATGCTGGAATACAAATTCATTTCAAAAGGTATCAGACAGTAAAGTGTATAAGACAGGATTTTATTTTCATATATTTTCAAATGGATTAGATAAACACATTTACATACATTTATTTTTGTACAGTACATTTCTATGTGTAATATTTAACAACACACTTTTAAATAAATGTATTTCAAAAATATATTTGGTTAATAAGGCAGTATATTCTGAAATACTTTGTAGTGTTTGGAATGTATTTCAGCATGGACTGCAATGTGTTTGAAATGTATTTCAAATATACAAGGAGATTCACTTGAAAGAGGCCCTGAATATTCTGTCGTAACTCCCGTTGGGATGAATCGATTGCATTACACACGATGCTGAAAGTGATCTTCGTTTTGTCCCAGACACATGAAGGGTTACGGGGGTATGCACCCAGAAGTTGCAAATGGAGGTTAAACGTCGTGACGGCTGTCCGGCGCCTACCTCATCGCCCTGATGCGGGGGAATATCAGCTTGGTCGAAGCTCCATATACTGAGGAGCACATTGCATGTTGTTTCATTCAGATTGCTTCATCCTAGTGAGAGTTATTACAGAATATTTGGAATCTCCCTGTATAAAATTACATGTTCATATATTTTTACCCATATGGGTCTGCTCTGCTGCATTTTAAGGTGAGCAGATTGTTTTTATCTGTAAAATAAAAAAACAGGGTGGACAGGTCAGGCTTGTGAGTACACAGAGTGAGGAGACCAAGATGTTGCTGCTAGAGAAGCTGCTGAATAACACTGACGTTGATGTTACTCTGAGCAGCGTGAGAGGGAATAAATTACAATGGTCCCATAAAAGAGGGCCTCAAAAGTGACTATGTCTAGCAGCTCAGGCAGTGATTAGGCAGGGATACGTTTTCCACTAAAGATACAGTGGTTGTATGAGCCCATAATTCATACTCATATTAAATATTCTAGCAGTAAAAAGGTCCTGTGGCTAAACACACCCCTGGGCAGCACCAGTTCTGGACAGACATAGATGCTGTTGTCAGCATATGCCATATGTCATATATGGAGGCTATAAAAGTGACGAAGTTTAAAAAATGATGCTCTATTTGTAGATCATGTTTTCACTGCATTCAAGTAGACTGTCCGCCTGTACAAATCAGAGCCCACTGATCACCTGGTAGTACAATTCAGGTCTAGTAACTCCACTCCTGCTTTAACCCCTGGGTCACCTTGTGTCTTGAAAAGATGTTTGTGGTGATGTTGTGGACTCACTGGACACTTGCGAACTTCTGGTGGAGTTTGACAAAGCAGTGTTCTAAACTAGGTGAGTGAGTGGTAGAAGTGGTCAGTAGATGGCAGCAGCAGCTTCCTCTGCTGGCCAAAAACAAGCACAAAGCGAGATGTCTGCCTGTCTGCTCTGCTGCAGGTCTTTCTTAGGACTTTCTGCTGTATTTTTAATTTACAGTTAAAAACGGAGACATTTCTGGGCACAGCTCCAGCTGGGGACAGACCACCAAAAACATCTGGTCACCCTACTGTATTTTAATCCTAATGTATTATTTGTATTTTGTTAGGATGCATAAGATTTCCAGACTATTATTAATCACACAATCAACTGTCCGCAAAAATAAACTCTGGGCTGTGGAACTTTTGCAGGCCATGGTCCGTTTTCTCATCTGTTTGATGGCATGTTTATCCCTGAAGTCCGACCTGGGATAAAATGGAAGGTGAGAACTGAATCACACAACATAAAGTGGAAAAAGTACTAAAAATCTCTTCTTAAATAAAATGCACATTCACACATTTTTCTGTGTACTGTGGAAGGCACACAGACTATATGCATTTCTCACTTGATGATTTCTCACAGATGATTATATAAGGCTTCTTAGTTTAGAATTCCTGAAAGGCTGTGCAGAGTTTGTTACTGTTGAATTAAATCTATTTTTTGTTTTGGACAAAAAGAGCTTATTTAATAAAGTGCCAAAAACTGATAGATTCCTCAATGAATAATTACATTTTAGTGACAGCTCTACTGTTCATTAGCTCATTAAACATTATAGCTTACATTAACTCTTAAGTGTCAGTCTGTAGGGACCGTAAACATCACATTCACAACTTTTAACCTTTATAAATTCACTGATAATTTTATATACTGCAAAAAATGGTCTATTGGTTATATATCTAATGTTTTGAGATTTTTGTGAGCTTATTATAAGATTATTTAACTTATTTCAAGACATTTTTACTTGTTTTGAGTAATTCTTTAAGTAAAATGATCTCACTATATGAGTGGATAATTTGGCTTGTTTTAAGAAATATGCTTTATCTGTCAGTTTTTACTCAATGAAATTACTTTAAACAAGTAAAGACCACCGAGAAATAAGCAAACAAACACAAAGGCAGTCAGAGAGAGAGAGAAAGAGAGAGAGAGGCTGGGTTTTGTTATTAACTGACAGAACACACTATGGAGTCCACTATTGTCTACGGACGATTAACCTCAGAGAAACAGCCAATCATATCACTTCAGCTCACCATGGAAACGTGTGTCACTTTATCTGTTTCATAGCTGCTGAGAGTGAAATTCAAGAATGCATCCAAACTTGTTGGAGAAACAAACACACAATGCTGGAGTCCAAACTAAATAAAGGATATAAATGCTTTGTGGAAGAATTCTTCTCAGCTGTAAGAGTGTGATAACGTCAGCTAACATCTACAGAGCAGTAAAGTGATAGATAACCAAAAAGCTAGATTAGCCTTGTTAGCTGGAGATGCTGAAACAGTTTATCAAGAAACTAGTTGGCAAAAAATGAATCTCACTGTAGATGTTTTTTTTACAAACATCTACTGGCCCTCAGTCAGCACCTAAACTCCAGTTTTACTGGAGAAAATTACCAGGTGAACTTACAGTTTTCCTCTAAAGAAACAGAGCACTCTCTATTTGAACATTTTAATAGCTTGTGCAGTTAAAACAACACCAAGCTGAAGCTGACTTTTTATTTATATTCCAGTTACATACCAATTATATACCAATTACTTTCTTGTGCACTTTTTAATGTGGAACAGAAAATTTGAATAAGGCAACTTCTCAAATCAAATCTTCAACTCTAATTTTTATATAAGTTATATAGTATTTTGAAAATTCTTATCATGAGTAGTCCCACTAATCTTCATGTATGCCATTATGTCTGTCATGGTTAACAGTGTATCATGGATTTTGTGATTGTAAATTTGTGAGTTCAAACCATGCATTCAACATGGTGGTGGTAGTATGAGGGAAGACTGATTAAGGGAGGCAGGAGAACTCTGAGAACTTGGGCTGGAGTTCTGGGCAGCTTCTGCCTGTAGCTAGAGGGCCAGATCCCCCCTCAAACCTGTAGTAGGATTAAGAAACTGGGAAGAGATGGGGTAGCAGTGGGGATTATGAGCCCTTCGTCATAGGAAAGGAAGGTGATGTGAATTTATAGGGGGTTCATTTGGAAGAAGGGGTTTCAGACATGCCCCCCCTCAAACTTCAGTTATATCATAACTACATTAAAACTCTTAATATACTACCATACGCTACTTACATGCTGTCATTAAATGGTATTAAATGTATTACTGTTACCATTTTCTTTGGTGTTCAATGTTAACATGGCATTCAATTTGCTGAAGAATGCACAAAGCCGTGTTTAGGACTTAAATATTAGGACTCTGGACTTGGCTTGAGACTTGCTGGGACTTGAACTGAGACTAGACTGTCTTGACTCAGGACCTGAGTATCAAGAATTGAGATGTCCTCCTACTATGGTGAGATCCTCACCTAGATTCCCTCTCTATCATCACATCCATCCCGAACTTCTAATATGTCACTGTTACCTGAAATAGTGTGACGGAAACAGAATGTCAAATTCAAACTTCATGCCACAGCTTTTTAAAAAAAAAGCGTCGAGCCACTTTACCTAAAAATATGAACATACATCTAGAAGATGAAGAATATTTCAACATGTAGTTGGTTTCAGCATCGCTCCAAAAGTGTTTTGCTGTATCTCGCAGCAATGCCGCTTGCTCATTTCTGGTACCGCAGTCTGTTTTTGCACATGCGCAGACTGAGAAATCTGAAAGAAATCAGAGTAAGAGTTTACATGCACTGAGAAATCTGATTACTGAGCTAAAATCCAGCTCTCTTTATCAGATTTCTTAATAAGATTTCTAGACCTTACTCCGATCTAAGAAATCGGAGTCTGCTGTTTACATGACCATTTGAATAATCGGATAACTGCAGAAATCCGATTATGACTGGATTACATGAGTGCATGTAAACATGCTCACTACAAACACACTGCCTCATTAAACACACATGACTCAGCGCATCAGCTAATTAGCAAGAATTTCATGAACGGAATTCAGGGTGTTAGTTGACACCAAAATGCGAATCTCTGCAGCAATTTGCCTGGAAGGTCCCCAGTTTGGCATGCCTGTTATAGAAGAAAGGGGACGCAGAGTTGTTAGGTCTGTTACTTTCCTATTAGAAAGTATCTGTGATGACGTAAAAGTTCAGATGACAGACTATGAGTGTATGTAATGCATGACCAGTAAAAGCAACCTTGCGTTTGAGCTGCACCAAGCCTACCGTTTTTTCATTTCACCACATTTACATCAGGTATGCCGCTCATACATCTGGACATAAGACCTCAGAACAGATTATTTGGGGGTCTGGCTCTCTAGCTTAAAGCAGAAATCACCTGTAACTCCAGCCCAAGTTCTCAGAGTTCTCTCCCTTCTACAGTCATACAATCTTCTCATGCTACAACCATGTTGAAGACATGGTCTGATCTTACAAAGGATCTCTTACATCTCTCTTATGTGTGTGCGTTTTCTGCAGCATGAGAATGCCTCAGTGCAGATGTTTGACCACCTGGTGAAGGTGAATAATCTGATGCCTGAGATTGTGAAATATGGCCTTACAACAAATGACCTCACCTTCATCAAAGAGCAAATTGAAGGGCCTCAGGACGACACCGCCTCGGGCAGTAAGGTACTTCTGAGCTGATCTCTTCCAAGTATGGGACATTCCACTAGAGTAACAATATTTGTGTTTTATTGTTACATGTTAATAGGTGTTGCTATGCCAGTTTTTATGGGGGCTCTAGCCCCCCTTAAATGTTATCTAGCCCCCCTTTCCCAAGTAAATGTACATTACTAGTCCAAATCATCCATTGTCCATTCTCATTCACAAAATACTGTAATAGCAGGGTGCAACATAAGTGAGGCGCTGCCTCTGCCATGCTATCAGAGATTGATTAATGTAATGTTCAACCAATCAGATCAGACCTTGTAAGCTGTAAGCCAATCATATCAGACCTGGGGGAGGGTCTTTAGTTTTGCTGTGCAAAGTAATTGGTAGTTTATATCCCTCAGTTCCTCAAGCTGTAGATGGAAATTAAGAGGCAGCAACTCCATCAGATTTCACCAGTTAAAACAAAACAAACAAACAAAAAAATGCATTGATTGATCATTATTTCCTTGATCAAATTAATGTATTACTAAACACAGGAGGAGGAGAGGCTGAAGGAACAGATCTGATAGAGATTAGTGATTATGAATAAAGTGAGGGAGAGTTGTATAAGCTTTGAATTAAAGTTAATGTTATATTTAAACAACTTAACTGAGAAAATATTAGTCACTATGATCATGAAATTGTCACCTAGCTTATTAAACAGGCCTACAAAGCAAAATCACACTCTTTCTGGCAGTTAACTGATCTATAATCTGTGTATTTGAATTATATATTTAGGACTTTGCAGTTTATCTAAAAGAGCGGGATAAAATTTACTTCAGTCCTTTGCTTGATCTGTGTCTGTTGTAAGTGTAGAGTGTTTAAGTCATACTAGCTCTGTCCTTTATACAAACTACAAAAAGCCATTTTGATATTTTTTCTGGCTGTTTCTACTCTAAAAGTTCATGATGAATATTTTGGGGCCATTAAAAAATTCTCTTGGGGGACCACACCCCCAGGCCCCTTAGTACAAGCTTAGCCCCCCCTAGTGATGCCCTTGAACATGTTCATGTACTAAAAATAGAGATGAGAGTGGGCAATTGACTATCATGGTCTTGGTACTTAACTGTCTGTGGTCTGAGGGCATTTTCTCAAATAGTTCATATCTTCTTAAATCCTCCTTTAAAGTCTCTTCATATAACATGATACTCATATGTTTCATATCAAAATGCTCCGTTATCTTCATCACTACTTTCCAAAACCGCTGCAGCAACTTCAGCAGCTATAAACTCTCTGCACGTCATTTCACATGAGTCTCCGATGTGGACAGAATGAAGAATGAAGGGTTTCAAGCGTGATGAGTCAGTCCTTAGTGATGTGTCCATTGGTCAGTTCCACGTGGTGAGAGGCAGATGATTTGTATCTCAGCCCCTCTTCATGGCCTCATAACTCCGGATCTTGTGATAATATGGAATGGAAAGGGCGACTCTACAGATGTTTGAACTGTATAGCTGGATTATTGCAAAGAGAGAGAAACAGATATAGAAACATCGAATTTCATGCACGAGTTTGTGGACCCCAGAGGGGTAACCAAGTAGAACACTACTTGAAATTCACAGATTTATTTTAGTTTGCCTAAGAACTGCCTGTTTTTGAACATGGTGCTACAGTAAAAATAGACCAGCGTTAAACAAAGTGTTTTACAGTTAGCAGACATTAGGAAATACTATCTGGGCTTCAAATAAACATTTCAAATAACCTTTAAAGGTACAGTCCCGTAATTGCACAATTTCACATCCCAGTCTAGTGGCTATTTCACTTTTCATGGTTAACTGATGTGCAGATCAAGCAGCATGTTGTTGAAGATCATCAGTAACTTTGTAAGGCTATTGATGTAGGCTATAATCTTGTTTATAAAGCACAACATACATTTCATTCATGTTTATTTTTAATTTCTGAGTAACTGATTTTTAATTTCAGAGAACCACAAAACTGTTCTAAATGCCATCACTAATTCAAATCTCACAACAGCCTTTCTTTTCCTCCAGTGGCTGTACAAGGGCAGATCGGAGGAGAAGTCTTTTTTGTATCAGATTGTGGCAAATAAAAAAAACGGCATCGACGTGGACAAGTGGGACTATTTTGCAAGGCAAGTTTATCATGCTGTTCAAATGTGCGCATGACGGTTAACAGTCATGCGCAACAGCCATCTGTTTCTCTGCATACGTTACCCTGTTCTTCAATAATCAGGGCCCCCACAGGACCACCACAGAGCAGGTACTATTGGGTAGTTGATCATTCTCAGCACTGCAGTGACACTGACATGGTGGTGGCGTGTTAGTGTGTGTTGCGCTGGTGCGAGTAGATCAGACACAGCAGTGCTGCTAGAGTTTTTAAACACCTCAGTGTCGCTGCTGGACTGGGAACCGAAAACATCCAACCAGCAGCGTCTTGTGGGCAGCGTCCTGTGACCCACTGATGAAGGACTAGAGGATGACCAACACAAACTGTGCAGTAGCAGATGAGCTATTGTCTCTGACTTTACATCTACAAGATGGACCAACAAGGAAGGAGTGTCTAATCCACTCTCACCAGCGCAACACAGTTTGCCAAACTGATTCACCTTGTTGGTCCTTCATAGCTTAGCAAGTGTAACTTTGCCCGGATTCGTCTAAAAAACTTTACAATGTGCTGCAGCATATCTGTAAATCTGAAAACTCACCCAGTTTCCCAAGAGTTTGGTGTAAAGAGTGACTCCTCCTCATTTCTCATACTGAAGACAGAAGAGGAGATGAGGAAGATCTATTAATGTGAGGAGGAGCATATACCAAACTAGAGCAGAGATTTTCCAGAACAATTATTAAACCAGTGAGCAGCCAGCCAAGATATTTCGCACACTGTGCCAGGGGTGTTCTTCTGTAGGGCTCTTTCATAAGGCCTGTCTGAGCTTCCATGTTGATTTGGTGCATTTAGGATAAAGTTAATGCTGTTTTTAGTTTTGTCTGTGATGTCACTGCTTGTCTGTTGAATATGCTGTTTGATTTCCTTAATAATAACTTTAAAAAATATTCTAGATTTTGCAAAAGAATTTCTGATGGAAATGTTAAATGTGAAAATTTTGCTTTGGCTGCTCTGTTCACTTACTGTCTTGCTTTCTCTTGATGAACAGAGACTGCTACCACCTGGGCATGCAGAGTATCTTTGACCACCTCCGGTTCCTTAAGTTTGCCCGAGTGTGTGAGGTGGAAGGGGAGAAGCACATCTGTAGCAGAGAAAAGGTGTGTGCCATGTCCCCTTATTCTAGGAAAATTCCAGAAATTTGTACTAGGAGTAGCAGGGTGTCAGTGTGAATGTATGAGTGGGAAGGGGTTTGGCAGAGGCTGGACAGTTGGGTGACACTTTATTTTGAGTGGTCCTTTTTGATACAAGATTTTCTTCCGACAGCAGGGATATGAGGGTTAGGGTTAGGTGTAGGGTTGAGGTTAAAGTTAGGGTTAGGATTAGGGCCAGGGTTAAGGTTAGGTTTTGGATAGGGTTGGGCAAGGTTAGGTTTTGGGTAAGGTTGGGTAAGCTTAGGTTTTGGTAAGGCTGGGTAAAGTTGGGTAAGGTTATGTTTTAAGTAAGGTTGGGTAAGGTTGGGTTTGGGGTAAGGTTAGGTTTTGGTAAGTCTGGGTAAGGTTGGGTAAGTTTAGATTTGGGTAAAGCTGGGTAAGGTTGGGTAAGGTTAGGTTTTGGGTAAGGTTGGGTAAGGTTAGGTTTTGGGTAAGGTTGGGCTAAGGTTAGGTTTTGGGCAAGGTTGGGTAAGTTTAGATTTGGGTAAGGCTGGGTAAGGTTGGGTAAGGTTAGGTTTTGGGTAAGGTTGGGCTAAGGTTAGGTTTTGGGTAAGGTTGGGTAAGGTTGGGTTTGGGGTAAGGTTGGGTTTTGGTAAGGTTGGGTAAGGTTAGATTTTGGTAAGGTTGGGTAAGGTTAGGTTTTAAGTAAGGTTGGGTAAGGTTGGGTTTGGGGTAAGTTTAGATTTGGGTAAGGCTGGGTAAGGTTAGGTTTTGGTAAGGTTGGGTAAGGTCAGGTTTTGGGTAAGGTTGGGTTAGGTTAGGTGTTTGGTAAGGTTGGGTAAGGTTAGGTTTTGCACTTCAGTGTATTCAGATGCTTCACTACTGCAACATCTCTGATATGTTGTTAATGTGTTACTGATAATCTTTTAAAAGTTTATTAATCATCTACAAAGGACCCCTCCAAATAAAGTGTTACCAACAGTTCTGCAGATTGCTGATAGTAAAACAGCTCTCCCTTAAAGGCAAAGGGTAACAGACAAAAGATACTCGCAATGTGCGTGCGAGGGGGGGGTCGGAGAAAAGTTGGACCGATCCACTGATTACCAAGAGCAAAACAACTCTCCTCTTAAAGTTGCAAACACCTGCCCCACATCGAGGTGGAAGCCAATGATGTGGCAGAAATTTTGGGGTGGCATCTGGGGCGGCCAGTCAGAATTCAGAGAAGACACAGGTCACTCCAGCCACAGCTTTAAAACCATGCATGGTCAGATGACCACACCCAGTTAACCAAACATTTTCAATGTGAGCTGGAAAAATGACTCTCTTACTATTGGCAGAACTGCAGTAGGAAACACTGTGCAAAATCACAGCTGGACCAGGTTAAAAAGACTTCATCCTCAGAAAATTTTACAGCCGTTTTAACACATATGCGGTTACTTATTGATGCTGGAGGACTGTCTTACTGTAAAAGGATAATATAGTTTGCTCTGCAGAATGATTTTACAGAAACAGGGTGACCAGTATGAGTACCAACATTTGAAGTTAGCAAGCAGAATTTTGTAATTTTGTCTTCAAGTTCATTGACTTTTAATGTGTTTTCAATTTTTCAACTGAACATAAATCATGTTTTATACAGGAAGTAGGTAACTTGTACGACATGTTTTACATGCGTTACCGCCTGCATTGCAAGGCCTATCAGCACAAAGTGGGTAACATCATCGAGTTTATGTGAGTACCATCACCTTTCTTTTGTTTTTGGATTTCTCCCTTATGACAACACTGTTGATGAATATGTTTTATCTACGTAAAGATACACAATGGAGTCTCTCAAACAAGTAGTGCTTTTCCACTTAAATCCCAGATTTATCCCGCTCTTATCAGAGCGTCGCCGCTCCCCAGTTTCAGTCTCCATTTGCCAAATGCTTTAGACGAGCACGCTAATGTTATTCCTCCTAATAAAAAGATACACGTTCAGCTCTGTCTCCTCATTATTCACCACCATCACTGTAATATTTCATCATTAACACAAGATGTAAATAAGAGGAGACAATAAGTTTGAGATTTTTAAAATGCAGAGTTAGAAAAGAAAAACATCTCACAAGTGAAAGCAGCGCTTTACAGTATAAATAAATGTAGAAGAAGAAAATAAATCAGTAATTTAATATAAATGACTGAACACTAGTGGAGGAAGATTCTGCTGTTATTGAAACAAGCTGTCTGATGCTGAAACAAGACTAAACTTGTATTTAATTTAAAACTAGTTCTTAATCTCAGAGCAGACATCTTACAACAGGACAGTGATTTTACGATTAAGATCCCAACCAGGACTGAGAGAGAGAGAGAGAGAGAGAGAGAGAGATTGGACCACTGAAGAACAAAAAACTACTATTTAAAAATCAGAAAGAAAATGTTTCTGAATGAGATAAAACTAAATCCGATAACAGAGAATGAAGAACCTCTGGAGAGGAAACTGAAGAAAAAAATTACTGTAAGACGGTGCAAACAGAAAGCTCTTCTAAGTCCAAGCAGTGAATATCAGTGTCATTTCATTCTCTGGTAGGTGAAGTATGTTGGGACATTGAATAAAATGTATTTTGTAAAATATGCCTAGTGAAAGAGAGAATGATACAGATTTTACCATTGAATTACTCAACTTTAAGATTTCCTGACTAATTGAGGCATAAAAGACAAATTCATGATCAGTTTCAGGAAATATGATTTTAATGATAGAAACTAGTAAATAACTTTTAAAACAAGATCATTAACCTTATATTTCCAGATCTTAGATTTTAAATCTTAGCAAGTACGGAACAATTTGCAGTGCACTGCTGTCTGTGTGTGTGGTAGGATAACAGAAGCCTTGGTGAAGGCAGACCCTCACATTGAGATCGAGGGATCTGAAGGAAAGATGTTCAAAATGTCAGAGGCCATAGAGGACATGGAGGCTTACACCAAGCTCACAGGTAACATCTGTTGCATTGCTTTTAACCATTAGCCTAAATTCGACTATGATAAAGTCTGTTGGCACTCTGTTTTTGTACAACAATATATTGGACCTATAAGGTAGCTCATAAGTGGTCAGTGAGTGGGGTTTCTAACAAAATGAAAAGTGAGGGTAAATTTCATACACAGTGCTGCTTGAAAGTTTGTGAACCTTTTTCCATTATGCTAATTGTTATGCTAAACTGTACAACAGTAAGGTGGAGTTACAAGAGCAAGGTTTCTGATAAAATGGACAGAGATTGTATATGTGTTATGTATCCGCACAGGTCAGTAAGTGGCAGTAACACAGTTGCCTGGCAAACAGTCAGAATGCAAAATATACAATATATAAATGATACCAAGTTGTCAGAAGGTGCAGTAATACTTTACTTTTTACTAAACCTGCTACAAAACACTGTCATAAATATGTCATCAAAGGTGTCACATGTTGTCATAAGTTGTCACAACAGATTCAGATTTAGTAATAAAACAGTAATTGCCTTTTTTAATGTCATGCCAGCTTAAGTCACATGCTATTTATGGAGTGTACTCCATTTCTGTTTCTTTAAAACCTATTACATTCATGATATCCAGGATTGTATGTAATGTAATGCATGTCAGAGGAATACATATTCAGAATACAAAAATTCAATATCTGTATTCAGTCCAAGTTACATTTTGTAAATGCTGTATTCAGAATTCAGTTACTTTTACATTTTTAGGAGAATTCTTTTAGAATACCTTCCAACTAAATAAATAGGGAAAGTGGTTAAAAAGGTGAGAACACTGTATGGACAGAGAAACAACTGAAAACACTCTTGGACCACCGAAAACCGAGGAATATGTTTGTGTTGTTTGTCACAAAGCTCAACATAACAGGAGTTAACATTTTCACATTTCTATACCACATCACCTCTGAAAAACTGTGGGCTATACGGTTGGCTAACTAGCTTAAGCTAACTACCTAAATATAAACACGTTTACGTGTGACATGGTCATCTTTTCCAAGTTGTTGTTCATCAAATGTAATAAGCAGCTGTAATTCACTCCCACTTTTTTGTTATTTTCTGACATGAAACCTGAAGAGGAGGGAACACAAGTTTACCTGATTTCTTTTTAGTTCACTCTCATGGTGTTTTTTTCTTTTTCCATGACCAGATGGATCGTTCCACTTCATCCTCTCATCCTTGACACGAGGGCAAAGTGGGGCTTTTGCGTAATTTATAGGGCCCTATGCATTGTACGTAGTGAGAGTAGAGGGCTCACTGGCTTTGACTGTTATATTTAATCATTTTTGTCTGCTAGAGTTAGTAGACTAACCACCGTTGACCTCCTCATCCTTTTCATCTCGTCAGCTTCTTCTTCAGTTGTCTCCTCAGCTTGCGAGAACAAAGAAGTACATATCGAGGCCTTGCCCACCATCGTTCTGCAAAGTCTTGACCTAGTCTAACCTCTGATTGGCTAGTACTCATTGCCCAATATGTAGTTTAAATGTATTCTGAATATGTTACTGAATGCATTTAGGACAGTGTATTCAGTATTTTGCCCAATTCTGATGATATCAAACATTATGACATATTTCCTGGCCAGTAATGGTAACATGACACTGTTATGTTGCTGGACAAAATCTGTGATGGCAGCGCATGACAGCGTGTGGTGTCTGCCATGACATGTTTATGGCATGATTATGTCAAAGTTATTCAGCAGGGTACAAGTAAAGTTTAAGTCAAATATGATCACCCATGTCCCATGTCGCGTCACACTCTGACCTCCTTGCTGGACATAAACAGGTCTCTTTATCTGGATACTACCATAACTAGAAGTTTAGAAGAAGTCTGCTTTGTTTGAACCATCTGAATGGCGAAAGACAAAATTAGCACTACTGTAATACTGTAATTTAGTTTTATGTTTATTTAATGTTAAAGCCATCGTAGGCATTTGATCAGAGTTTCATGCACTGCCAAACATATCTTGTCAAATCAAATGATCTTAAATCTAGTCTAAATATTTCTTATATTTCTCCTTTTGAGATGTTTGCAGGAATAAGATTATTTAACTTAATTCTAGACTTTTAAAATTTGTTTTACATAATTTAATTAAGCAAAATTATCTCACTATAGTGGCAGATAAGTTTACTTATTTTTAGAAATCTGCTTGAAATAAGCATAATTATCTGCCTATACAATGAGATCATTTTGCCTAATTAAATTTAGCTTAAAATGTGAAAAATCTCTGGAAATTAGTTAAATAATCTCAAAATCTTCCTGCAACCATCTCAAAAGAAGAAATAATAGATACTTAGACTAGATTTAAGATAATTTTACTTGGCAAGACATAAAGGTAATAGATTTATTAAAGACTTCCTTAGCTTGTAAGTGGGTCCCTCAGCCTGAAAGTGGCACAACATCCCCATCAGACTTTCATTCCTGGACCAAAAAGCCAGAAAGTAATCTGGATGGATGCTAAAAATGAATTAATCCAAACAGCAACAGTGGACAGAATTTAATCCTCATTACCACAAAGGAGCAGCCAGGATATTTGAAATTGGACCAAATATCCATCACGAGACATTGAACTATAGCATCTAGGTCTAGTTTATTCAAAGAACATGTTAAGTTCACAAAAGTGCAGTATTTGTAAATGTTTTGTGTTCATGGTCAAGTTTTTTAGATAGCTATCTAATCTTAGAAGTCTGATACATGTATGATTACAATAATTTGCCATGCTCTTTGACTCTGACCTGACCTGACTCACCCCTCCAAAGACCACATCTTTGAGCAGATCCTGTACTCCTCCAACCCTAAACTGAGCGAAGCTAAGAACATCCTCCAGAAGATCATCAGCAGACAGCTGTATAAATGTGTGGGACAAATCACACCTGAGACAGTCCTTGAGGCTTCACAGGTAAGAGACAGGATTAATTTATTACATTTAATTTAATTTAAATGTATTTCTTGTATCGATTAAAAGCAATACAAATATTTTTTTTGTACTTTCACTGCATGAAGTATACAGTGCTGTGAAAAAGGTACTGAAGAAAAAATTCTGCTCAGCCCTACCTGGCCCTATGTGAAAAAGTAATTGCCCCTTCAGGTGCAATTTAGATTCAGTTTCACTGCTACACCCAGACATGATCACTGCCAGACCTGCTAAATTTAAACATCACTTAAATTGAACCTGTCTGGCAATGTGAAGCAGACTAGAAGTTCTCAAAAAGCAGCACATGATGCCATTGCTGAGGCTCTGGGACTCCAGCAAACCACAGTGAGAGCTGTTATCCACAAATGGAGAACAGTGAACAATGGTGAACCTTCCCAGGAGTGGCCGGCCTACCAAAATTTCACCAAGAGCGCATCGACGACTCATCCAGGAGGGCACAAAAGAACCTAGACAAACATCTAATGAACTTCAGGCCTCACTTGCCTCAGTTAAGGTCAATGTACACGATCCCACAATAAGAAAGACACTGGGTGAAAATGGCATCCATAGGAGAGCTGCAAGGTGCAAACCACTGCTGACCAACAAAAAACCCACAAAGGTTCATCTCACGTTTGCCAAAAACATCTGGATGACCCCCAAGACTTTTGGGATGATATTCTGTGGACTGATGAGTTAAATGGTGGAACTTAACCATGGTGGAAGACATGGATCCTGTTACATCTGGTATAAAGCTAACACTGCATTCCAGCATAAGAACATCATACCAACAGTGAAACATGGAGGTGGTAGTGTGATGGTCTGGGGCTGCTTTACTTCTGCAGGACCTGGATGACTTTTTGGAATTGATGAAAACATAAATTCTGCTCTCTATCATAAAATCCTGAAGGAGAATGTCGGCCTGTCAGTTTGTAACCTAAAGCTAAAGTGCAGTTGGGTTATGCAGCAAGACAATGATCTGAAGCACACAAGCCAGTCCATATCTGAATGGCTCAAAAAGAACAAAATGAAGGTTTTGGGGTGGCCGAGTCAAAGTCCTGACTTGAATCCCATTGGATTACTGTGGCAAGACCTTAAAAGAGCAGTTCAGGCTTGAAAACCCCCCAGTGTAGAAATTCTGCAAATAAGAGTGGCCCAAAAGTCCTTAACAGTGATGTAAAAGACTCATTCCTTGCAAGTTATTGCAAATGTTTGACTACAGTTGTTACTGCCAAGGGTGGCACAACCAGTTATTAGGCATAAGGGGGCAGTTACTTTTTCACATGGGTGATATAGGTTTTGAATAAATCTTCAATAACCGGAATGATCATTTAAAAGCTGCATTTTGTGTTTACTTGTGTTGTTTTTATCTCATTAAAATTAGTTGGATGATCTGAAACATTTAAATGTGACAAATTAGCAAAAATAGAAGAGAAAAAAAAACTTTTTCACAGCTCTGTAGTTTAGATGCGGTTCCCTTTTTTTGCAGGAAAAGCTGAAAGAATATTCCAGTGAGGTGGCTAAGGCCAAACAAAGCAGCAATGATGTGGATCTAGAGTCTGAAGACTTCATAGTTAGGGTAAGGAAAAGAAGCCTTAGTCCTTTTTCTCAAATTTTCTAAGTTTTATTCTCTCTTTTTTAGATTGGCTAATCTTAAAATCTATATTTATATAACAGGTTGTTGACCTGAACTATGGGCAGAAGGATAAAAATCCCATCGATGAAGTCTATTTCTACTCTAAGGAGGACCCCACCATACCCATCAAGATCGACAAGAATCAGGTAAATTCTCAACCTCTTTTGTTCTTTTTTTTAAACCATTATAAACAATGACGGACATTGGTGTTGATTTCAGATTGTCATTCACTGTATCTTCACCTTTTTTGTCCTTCAGGCTACACAACCAAATTCTAGCAATGAAGCATGATAAAGTCATAAGAGATAACAGTCCTGTAGTTTATCAATCTGCATTTGCCTGGTGTGATGAACAAGTGCAGATTAACGCCAAGTCCAAACTCACAGTGGACGAGTGCGAGCGAATATTAGATTATCTCATCTTGAGTTAGGACATCTTAACCTACTCGACTGAAGTTGACAATCAACTGTCATGCCTGTTATCTAGCGACGGACCATACACACACAACCGAAACGTAAACACGCAATCAAAATAATATTGAAAATGTAAGTAACAGCTGCTGTTACTGATAAAAAAGATGAAAACTAAAGTGTAATGAACTGTAAGTTGTGAATACTGTGAGAGCGCCCCCTGCTGTTTATCAGAGCATCCCCGCTCCCCAGTTTCAGTCTCCATTTCCCAAACGCTTTAGCCGAGCGCACTAATGTTATTCCTCCTAATAAACAGACACACATTCCGCTCTGTCTCTTCATTATTTACCACCGTCACTGTAATATTTTATCATCAACATTAACACACCAAGGTAATAAGTGGGAGTCTGCAGCGTCTGAGATTTTTAAAACGCAGAGTTAGAAAAGAAGAACATCCCACAAGTGAAAGCAACGTTTTACAGTATAAATGTAAAATGTAAATTCAGTCCTTATTAAAGTTGTCAAGATTATTAAACTTAAACGTTTTCAGACTTTAGATGTTTCTGTAATGCGACCCCTGGGCTATAGCCCTGAATATTTTTTAACCAGCTACGAACCTCAAAATATTAACATACCACACCTTTCACCCCAGCTTGTTTGCACAATATTCTCATTGTCCATGTTTTCATTCAAGGGGCACTTCACCCATTCCTCAAGCTCCAGAGCTTTCCCAAATGCAGCTATTGACTGTAATGTTATTAAAAAGACGGAGAGAGAGTGAGTGTGTTTACATGCACTTAATAATCCGATAACTGCAGGAAATCAGATCTTGTCAGTAATCCAATCACTGCGCTTACATGTTCTTGAGTAATCAGATAATGGGGAAACTCCAGGTCTACCTGGCAGTAGTCAGACAGTAATTAGATTTCTGCTTTACAACCAGCCAATAAACTTAATAAAGAAGAAAACGTGACATAAACGTAACCTAAAGCTCAAACTTCATGCTGCAGCTTTTTGTTAAAAAAACATTCAGCACTTTACCTGAAAATATGACCATACCTCATCTAGAAGATGAATATTTTGTTCAGCACGTAGTTGGTTTCAGCATCACTCCAAAAGTGTTTGCTGCTGTCTCACGGCAATGATGCTTGCTTTTTTTTTCCGGTACTGCCTGCTGTTTCACACATGCACAGACTGAAAATTTTACAGGTTCTAAAAAAATCTGAAGGAGTCATAGAGTGAAAGTTTAAAGATAATGAAATTTGATTTATTTTCTGTGAGTGCTGCCACTGTACTACAGCCAATCAAATCATTACAACAGCTCGTTATGACATTGCATGTTTGGAAGTTGGACCAACCCACAAATGTATTTCTGCCTATACCACTGGTGGTACAGCACACAACCAACAAACGCCACAATAAACAAGATCTTATGTCCTGCAGCAAGAAGGTTTGTAAACCAACATAGGAGATGCTGTTAAGCTGTTACTGGCTTTGATGCTCTATCCTTCCTGCAGGTCTCCAAGATGCTGCCGACGAGATTTGCCGAGCAGAAGATCAGAGTTTACTGCAAGAAAACTGTCAAGAAGAGTTTAGAGGCCGCCAAAAAGCACTTTGAGCAGTGGTGCTCGGAAAAGTTCTCCAAACCTCTGGTACCTTTGACCTTCTTTACATAGACTGTGTGTCTGTCTGTGTCTGTTTATGTGTTAATCTTCTTGTTGTTTCCAGGATGGTGATGTCATGGCAGCAGAACTCACTGACCAGGACTGCCACATTGCTGACGACAGTGAAAGTGGAAGCCAAGTGCCACGCGGTTATAGAAGAATGACAGATATTTACAAGGCGATAAAGAAACACACAAATACATCAAAGTAACTGTGTGAATAAATGTACTTGCATTTGTTCTATTTTTCTTTCTTGGCTCCTTCTAATCAGATTGTGTTTTTGGGTACAGAATGGAAAGAATATAGTCAAGTCCTTAAGAATTTGGACAGTGACACAATTTTTGTAATTCTGCCTCTGTACACCACCACAATGAGTTTGAAATGAAACAGCCAAGATGTGACTGAAGTATAGACTTTCAGCTCTAATTCGAGGGGTTTAACAAAAATATTGCTTCAATGGTTTAGGAATTACACCCATTTTTTACATAGTCCCTCCAATGTGTCACTGTGCAAATACTTATGGACATGACTGTATTGCATTTTATTGTGTCTTTCCATAGTTTTTTTGCATTTAAATCCTTACATACCATTTCTTTTTATTCAAATTATTAATCGGTACGTTTGGTCTTTGTCTGCTGCCAATATGTTTTCTTTCCACCTCCTATAGAATGCTTATAGTTGAACCAGTGTGTTTAAGAGATCAGTACATAAAATTGTGTAGCTTTTTTTTTGAATGAGAAAAGAGTCAGATTCTTCAAATGGAAATTTCAAGTAATATCTGTACCATTTCAAACGTGCAAAAATTATGTTTCCACAGTAAAGTAGCATATGGCAACTCGAGTGTGGTTATTTGACTGCAGTTATAACATTACATAACATCAGGTATTAGCATATATCAGCATATATTATATATATCAAGGTGCAAATAAAGAGGTATACATGTGCAACTTAATGATCTGGTCACTTCATTTGACTAGTATCTGAATTGTATCCTGATAAGATTTTAGCCACATGCATTTACACTTAGTAGTCAAATATGGCTCTGGTTAGTCGGAACTGAAATCCGATTGCTGTGTGGGACAGAATATGTAAATCCATTTGTTTTGCGCCAATTGATTACCAATTTCTTTTGTGTTCGGTCTCTTCTTGGTTGCTATGTTTATCCATATAGCTCTCAAGCATTTTGTTTCATGTGGTGCCCAACCATGTGCATCTTTCATGATTATCTTCCTTGCAGACATGGCCAGTGACGTACTGCATGGGGAGGAGTTTCAGTTATACTGGGAGGGGTTTTGGAAAAACATGCATTTACACTACTATAACATGTGGCTCAAATGCTTCTCAGACCATCATCTGAAATGGTTTGAGCGATCAGATTTGTATCTGTTTTAAATGCATCTTAGGTGCATTTACACTTGCATTTTTATGTGGCCACATCCAGATATTATCCTGATATTCAAGATGCATGAAGTGACCAGGAGTAAATGGGGTCAAAGTCTGCTGGAATTAGCTGCTGGAGTAATTGATCATGACTGGCCAGGGTAGAGCTAGTGAGAGCTGGTTCAAAATGGGAGGGGCGATATCTGAAAGAATCCCTCCTTAAAAGATGGCTCCCAAAGCTCCAGGGCAGACCTGGATCATGGAGAGACTTGGGATGGATATTTAATCATTCAATCCTTAATCATTCATTCTTATTTTCTTTCCTTGCCTCCTTTCCTCGCATATTAGCTCCTCCTGAGGAATAAATGCAAGGATAAGATGCAAGAACAGAGGGACACCAAACATATTTGTCAATTCAAATGCCCTTCGCTCAACCATCACTTTAACAGATCTGCCGATAATAAACAACTATATTCTATTATCATCTGACTTTTCACATGGGAATGCTTACAATTCAACCAAATCAAATTTAATTCACTTTCATCATCCTTTGGCAGTAACATCCCATTAACTTTAATCATCCAAAGACTACACCAGGTGGATGCGGACCCATTTTCTGGCTCACAGATCATACTGCTTCCATCTTTGAGCACATATACATTCTTAAAGTGCACTTGGAGGAATCGAGGAGAGAGAACACTTGAAGAGGAAACGTGTGCAAGACCAGACCCTGTCAAAATTATGTTAAGACCAAGACAAAACCGAGTCCAAATGATGTTGAGACCAAAACAAGAGAGACCACATCATAGGCAGAGAGAAGACCAGAAGTTTGGTGTGGAAGAACTTGACTGGCCCTCACAGAGCCCTGACTTCAACCCCATTGAATACCTTTGGGACGAACTAGAATGGAGATTGCGAGCCAGATTTGTTGTGTTTGACCTCACAAATGCTCTTCTGGATGAATGGACAAAACGTCCCACAGACACACTCCAAAATCTTGTAGAAAGCTTCCCAGAAGAGTGGAAGCTGCTGTAGCTGCAAAAGGGGGACCATCTCTATATGTATGTATATGAATTTAGAGAGGGATTCATAAGTGCTTCTGTGGGTGTAATGTGTAGGTGTCCCAATACTTTTGTCCATATAGTGTATGAGATCCACCCACAGTTAATGCAGGCAGGATATCTAGAGGCAAGGGCAGTCTGGCAAAGAGCTCCAGAGTGGGGGCCAAGGGTGGAGCTAGGTTTGAGCTGGAGCTGAAAAGTCCATGTGCTGGCTCCTCTCAGTTTCCTGCAACAGGATGTAACTGTCGCTTAAAACTGGCATGGTTTTAAAGGTTTTTCTGTATCGACAAAATGCTTCTGATAAAAAAAGCATGCCACCAGCTGACTTAAAGGAATATTTCAGCATTTTCAATCAAATCTCTATCTGCAGAATACAGCTGATTACAAAGGGTTAACTCTGATGAGAGTGTATATACAACTGTAAAACCCAAACCGTGAGGCTTCTTAATAACACGGGACACAAGAAAAAAGCCATATTTCTGTATTTTCTTACTCCATGTCTTTTTTTTATTTAGTTTTTAGATACAGCACATAATGCAATCAGCAGGTACAAAGCCACTGTGTCTGAGGAGGAACTGACCATCGGCAAATATTATTAACGTCCACTCTCTCCTCATCACCACAATCTCTTAACACGCTTTAACTGCTGCTTATAGAGACTGTTCGTTTTTCTTTCTTTTATTTTTTTACTTTACTATGCCTTTTTATTGTCTTTTTCACTATTTATTTTCAAAAAAGAGCGCGGCAATAGGAAGAAGTTTACATACAATATTAACATATTCCAGAAAAAAAGGTTGGAAAGTGAAGTGAGAGGAAACTGCTGCTTAATTCAGAGTTATCTCAACATAACTGCACCAAAAGTACACAATGAAAACCCACAGGTTTCACAAAACACATTCCCTTCATATGAAAATAGATATTTAATGCATTTAATTGACTACATGTGTTTTTTTAGACTGAATCTATGGTGGTTTAAATATTTATCATGCATCTGACTCCAGTGGGTCATCACCGTGGGTTTTGGTCAGAAGGTCAGAAAGGCAAAAAACTTGAGATGTAAGTGCAAATTTGGACCACTAATCAACAGCTAAGTATAACTGAATCTGAAATATTTTTATATGAAAACTTTTTGTTTAAAAAAGCATAAAATGTTGGGAACAAATATACTTATTCAATTTAAAATGATTTATCCTATTTATCTGAACAAAAAAGAGCTTAGCAAATCTAACAGCACACCAAATGAACTGTGTATTATACTCCACAGTGGTCCAATCTAACTTATGCTGTTAAGATTAGGCAGCTTTTTTGCTCACCTTTAGCTAAAAGTGTCATTATTTTGAGTCCATTATAAACCACGGCCCTGAGAGCGCCCCCTACAGTAAGAGCTTTTCCTTCACTCCACTCTCCAACTGCATAAATGACATTGCTCCAAATGCACTTCATTTAGCGCTGGATCATTTTCATTAAATAATGTACATATCAGTAGCTAGGATGCTTTTTTTTTTTTAGAAAACAAAGTTGGAGTCCCACCTGATCATTTCCTAATCTTCCAAAAGTCATATCAAACATATCAAATAGGAAAATAAGAAATGCTCTAATGGCGTTGGATCACTAATAGCATGAGTGCACATATATAAAAAATGATAGTGAAATCCTTTGAGGAAAAAAAGTTAAGCAAAATACTAAATGACAATCTTCAGGTTTATTTACATTCAAAATGTGATAGTTGATAAGTGATTCATTCTCGCCTCACCGATTCTTCCTGGGTATCTCTTACATGACTCTTATCTGCCAGCATGACTCAAATTTTTTGAGAGCGTATTCGTATAGCTGGACTCTTACTAGCCTTTACGATGGAGAGGAGAGTCTAAACATGGGCAAGTGTTCCTCCACAACACACAAAAGAGTGAAGGAAACAGCTGCCGAAACAACAAACTCACACAAAAGTTATTTCACTTACCTAGGACCTGGCAGGTCAAATGGCTTTCAATGAAAAAATTCAAGAAAAAATTCCAACTTAATTTATGCAAACATGCACAATTTCAAACCTGTGTGGCAAATAGTTTTTTAGTTATGATTTTTTAAAGTTGACCCCAGTTGCCTCAACTATTTGTGGCCATTTATTTTCTTAAAAGAAATTTCTTTTTTTTTTCTCAATAAGGACAGGCATATCTTACTATTATATACTATTATATAAAGATAAATTTACAAGTTTGGTATTTGTACTTCATGGTTTAGTAATTTTCTAAGCATGAAGTATACGAGGAAAAAACTGATTTACAAATTTTCCTTTACAATGCTCCAGGAAGTCTATATCCCTTTTTTCAAGGAAACATATTCCACCATACCTTCAAAAAATCAGAACTGAAAAAATATTTGGAACACAGTTTTGAAATTTCGCATGGATGTAAGAGTTAAATAGATTTTTTTTTTACTGTTTTCTTTCTCCTCCGAAAAGCCATGATGTGGCCCGCCAAGTCCTAAGTGAATTGTGGAATAACTCACAGTAGTTCAGTTCCTTTGTGAGGCTCCACAGCTGCTTGTTATTGATGGACTGAACAACGCAGCAGGTTTTACAGTGTCTCGATGGTCATGGTTGATGGGACAGATGCAAAAAAGACACTTGGTACAGATAAAAAAGGAGGAACAGGAGCCATAAGAAAATTCTGTAAGGCATCTCATCAGGATTCCAGCACAAAATAGTGACTGCTTCAGCACTAGGGGTTAAAAACAGGCACGACCTCACACACAAATCGCTGTATTAGTGTTCATACTCACGACTGCCTCTCATGCGGTTAGTTGCTCCAGCAAATATAGAAAATGCTTAGCTTTCTGATTGAGTAAAAGCACAAAAAGCACAAAATTTGGCTCCACTGCTGCTGTTGAATTGACTTTTTTAAGGTTTTGCCTTATATCGAGTTGCAACAAATACACTACTTTGAATACATAACACCCTCTGGATGACAATACACCGGTAATGATATACATATATGATTCCTGAATCTTTCTTAATGGTTCAAAATGAGATACATCCATAAGGAAGAATTATAAATGTCAGACAAAGAGTTATACACTGTATGCATATGAGAGTAATAGAGTATTACTATAGTACAATGTGGTACTATAGGACATCGGATTTAACACATTGGGAAACTGGTTGTGATATAGACTAAACTGAAAAGGTTTTATAAGATTTTGCACTAAGTAAGTAAACTCTGAAATGTGTGCATTGAGGAAAATGTGTCTTGGGGTAAAGGTTTTGCTTTAAGGTACAAAAGGATGGATAGATGTGCAGATGTAAACCAGGCACTCAGACAGATAAAATCTTAAAAAATGCAAAATGTAACAAACAAAAATAGATACATTTATAAAAAAAAAATGTGAAATAAAATTCTATAAAGTGAAAGAAAATAAATATTTGAGTATAAAAAAGTGATATGAACATCATGAGAAAAAAAATCATCAGCCCCACATAACTTCTTATTTGTGGTATTGGTACTTTACTTAGACTTCAACCTACGTAACTTCCTCCTTCTTCCTTGACCACTCTTTCTTTCTCCACCATTCTCTCTGTTTCTTTTGTCTTCCTTTCCTCCCTTCTTTTTCCTCCCTGTCTCTTAATCTTCATTCTGGTGTGCAGTAATGACCCCTTTCACATTACACCACTTACAACAGAAACAGAACATTCCCTCAGACTTCCACACCACACCAGCAGCAAAAAACTGCAGATTTACAAGAAAAAAAAGATGTAGTGTGAAAGAGGCATAAGAACAGAGATGAGGACATGGCACTCAGTAACATTCCCTATGAATACCTGATCTATGAAACCGTATCATATAATATTAATGTACTAATGTTATAGTAATATCCACTTCAGAACAATGACTGGAAATCATTTGCAGTTTTTTTAAATGCATTATGCATCATAGATGTTGATATGAGATTAAGGCTTTGGTTACACTGCAACAAATCATATCTTGTATGCAAATGGAATCATCCTAAATCTAGTCAAAATATCTAATATTTCTCATTATAAGACGCTGCAAGAATGTTATGATTTAACCTAATCCTAGAGTTATTTTTACTTGCTTTAAGTAATTTTTAAGTGAATTTATTAAGTTTAAAACTCTTTCAAGAAGTAATGCGGACAAATTTCGATTTGATAAATAATGGCAGTAATTTTGCTTGTTTCATGAAATAATGATGGAATAAGACAATTTATCTAGATAAAACTACATATTACTTAAAGCGTGTAAAACATACCTAGAAATAGACTGAAAATTATCCTTCCAGCAATATCACAATGAGAAATATTACATGCTACAATATTTTTTCGCCAAGATATCATTTTTTGCAGCATGGGGTTCGAATTAAGAGTTGAATTTAGAGTTATTTTAATGCTGACCCTCAGACTGACCCTAATCCAAACCCCAGGAATCGCTGCACCCAGAGTGTTCACAAGAAACGTTACAGAAAGAATAACTGCTTGGTGGGAAGCAAACATGGGCCAGCAGGAGAGTGGAGAAGAGAAGAAGGAGGAGGAATACAGAATTAATCCCTCACTCACAGCCGTAAACACTTCTTTGGAGGTTTCAGTGATGTGGAATGTGTCTGGAATGTTCTGTTCACCATGTTCGTCAGATCAGTGACTGTTTTTTCATTGGGATGAGTCTAAAAGCCTGGACAGACTGAACTTATTTCTCTTTGACTATAATTATTTGATGATCTTATGTGTATTTACCTTCTCATGTTGGACTGTTGGATCAAAACTGATGGACAATAAAATGTTTGTGTTGTATATCAATGGAAATTAAGAAAACAATCAGCAAAACCAAGTGGAATAACTTGGATATTATTGCCGTTTGTCTTTACACTCTATAATGTTTACAGCATTGGTTACTATCACAAACAAACCATATTTAGCATCGTTGTTGCACCATAATAGCTTACACAATGCAGACTGAAATATGGTAAAATGTATTTTTAGATGTTTTGTTCAATGTTTCAGGTGATTAAAAGATTAAATTGATAGTGATCAAAACGTGCCTGTTTGTGATTTCTGAATGCTGCTGTTGTTTTCATCCTGAATGTGATCAACAACAAAGCTGAAAATCTGTGTTTGTTAACAATGAAGGAAGCCTTGTGCATGTTTTACACAGTGACAGAAAACAAGTTTAGCTCTGATTCTCCAAGTTGACACGGTTCACTGTGACCAGCGTGGATGTGTATCATAGCTCTTCTGGCAGCAGATTTAAACAAGTTTAAGGGGCCACCACCAAATTCATGTGATAGATCGCTCTTATCAACAGGGTTAATATAATTCTATAATTTTTCTACAACCAAATCAGTTTTGTATTGTTGAAAACAGTGATTCCAAATTTTTGAAAAGTTGTGGATACATTTTATGACATTGCATATCTCCAAACATCAAAGTAAGTTGTCAGTTCTCTAAAGTCTATCCAGGCCTTTAGACGAAAGTGAGTGTGAGTATGTGTGTGCTTGAAACTGCTCTAATGTTGTCGGCAGTGGCGAAAAATTTGCAGACGTTTTCAGTCCTGTCGTGTCTTGTGTAAAGATTTTCAGTCCCAGAATGCTCTGTTTCACACGGGCAGTATTGGTATTAATCTGTATGTGAAGGAATGCCAGTATTGGAGTGAACTTGTCAGTCCGTTCATGTTAGTTTCCCCCCAGGATGCCGGTGACGGAGTTGGGGAAGCTCATGCTCGGGGGAGGCATGTTGGGATTGGTGGGAGACACGGCCCCGGAGCTGTCGTGGTCACCAGCTTGGCCATGGTGGTCCCTCCGGCCGCTGTACTGACCAATAAACGAGCCGTCTTCGTTAAACTGGATGTCCACGCTGTCCCCGTACTCAGCTAGGCTGTCGTCACTTCCACGTTTGCTCTCCACACACAGCGACGGCTGGCTCATGGAGCGTTTCTCATCGTTATCACTGCTGAAGAGAGAAAAAGTTCTAGTTTTAAATGAACATAGTCTAGCAAACAATCAAATTTGCATAAATTTATTCCTTACCCCAAAAAGATATGTGGTGTCTGAAGTTTCCTTGGAGCACCAAGTAGCATGGTGCTACAAAATGCCTAAATGATTAGACAATTGCCTCAACTGTGTGGAGTTGCTCAGCTCTAACAGACCTGATTTTGTGGTTTCTGACACTGTATACTATAAACATAGACTATAGTATGGACAGAATTCAGGTCACTGTTGTTTTGGCTATGCAATGTCCATACGTTTTTCCAGATAACACTTTGTTATACAGTGTCAGTGATGAAGACATGCAGTTAGCACCATGCTAACTAGTGGGGTATAAGCTTCCATCGCTCCTTGGTCAGACTTTATGTGGCATATATAAGATTCTGACTGTGATTCTGATTATTATAACTTACCTCTCCAGTGATCTGCATTGTGAAAGCATTTGGGAGAATAAAAAGTAATCATTGGCCAAATTTCAGTGATAACATTTGAAGCAAATAAATAAACTAAATAATAACAATACAATTTAACAAATGTCATCACTGTCCAAAGAAAAACAAGTATCTCCAAAATAGTAACTTTACAGGAGAGGGCAAAAAACGTTCTTTACTTTTAATGTAAGTTAATGTAAAGAGATTTCCTACCGAGCAATTTTGGAGCATTTCTAATAGTCTACTCATCATGGACTGTTCTCACACAATGTCAAGAAATTATAATGACAAAAAAGGAGATTGGACAGCAATGATGGTTTTCAAGCCACCCAAGAGATAGAAAGACAACTGTAAATAAAAATTTAAATGATTTTGAAAAATCTTCAAATGACATATGGAAATTATTAGTAATTTAAAATCTAAGTAATTTGTAAGAAATTCAGGCAATAATGAAATAACAATTTTTAACATTTTTGACATAAATATAATACAATACATTTAGAAAAACAGATAAATAAATATCAGTGGTTTACATATGTGCAAATATTTTCCAGATTATGATTAAACACTTTAGAATAATTATTTGTCTAACAGCATGAGAAAAACCCAGAACTGACCTGTACTCTCCAAACGTCTCGTCCTTCATTGGTCTAGCCTCTGAGTCCACCCGGCCTTCCTCTTTATCTTTCACTGTAAACGAGCAAATAAATAATTTTTTTGAACAAAGGACTTTCCAAAGATTTTGACTCTGTGGTTTGTCTAAAAAATATGAGTTATTTCATAAATAATAAAATATGTTTTGGTAGATGTGGAGTGTGTACAGGTAAACCTACCTGTACCTATTTTTTCAGTTTGGGAGGTGTACACGACTGGAATATTACATTTTATACATGTATCTGCAATATAATTTGTTTCTTATGACTGAAAACATTGATTTAAAACTTCTGAACATTAACCGGTTATGTGCCTGTCACTGTAACAGTATTTCAGTGTGTGTTAACCTGAGTATTTGCCGCCCTTGCTTCGTTTGATAAAGCAGAGAATAAGCAGGATCAGTAGCAGCAGCACTATAGCGCTGATTAGTCCGATAAACCAGCCCTCAGAGGCAAAGCCATTCTTCACCACTGCAAGCTCTGAGAGTGAAGAACGAGAAATGAATGTTGAAGGAAGAATGAGAAAGAAAACAAGGCAAAAGGAATGTCAGCAAAAATAACCAGACAGCCTACCACTTACTATAAACCACACACTTGAAACTCGACCTTGCTCAAAAACTATGTACATCTGACTGGGGATGGTACTGATCCGATACCAGGTCCAGTGACCAGGCACTGGGCCAATATCATAGGAAAGAAAGGAAGAAATCCAATACGGTCACTAATCTAGTCGGAAAATAGTAAAGAATTGCTTGCAGGGCTGCAAAGTAATTTAATGTTTTTTATAATTAGGCACCTTTTAATGTTAATTGGTTTTTGCTTATGTGAGTACTGTTTACTATTAATAATATTATCAAACTGCCCAGGGACTGCAGACGAAACTCACGCCAACACACTCACACGTGTGTGACCCGCTGCACTGCTGCGATGTCATTTACCATTATATCAAGTGACCAGAACCATGTACTTCTAATAAAGTATACAGTGTATGCAACATCAGAGTATGTCATACCTGGCCCATTGGTCTGCAGTTCCTGCATCCAGATGGTTTCGTTACTGAGGCGGATCTCCAGCACGTACTCTGTTCCAGGCTGAAGGCCCTGGAGCTGGTAGAAGGCCAGAGCGGAATTCACCTGCTCCGATTCCTCCCAATGACCTTCAACTGAACACAAACACATACAAACGAAGGCTTAACACCTATTCAAACTAAGGCCAAATCCCATTTCACCCCTCGCCACTACCACTTAGCCATACTCCTCAGTTTTGTGAGTTCACGTCTAGGGGTAGGGTGTCCTGATTTTTGTTGAGATAGTGGAGTAGCGCGAAGTGTTAGGGCTACATGGCCCTCCAAACGGAGGTTTTTCAGAGGCATAACAGACGAATAATTTCTTTATGAGAACAAAAGAAAAACCGGCAAGATGGCTGCACAAGCCACCAAAGAAACCCACAAATGTGAGTATTTTCTCTGATAAAAAATTATGATAACCATTTTATTATCTTAGTTTAATGTTGTTTCAGTGTGCTATGTTCCTTCAGAACAAGCATAAAAAAATCTCTAGTATGCTGAATTCTTGGTAGCTAGCCAGCTTAATTTTCCGTTCCACCTTAAGTGGTTCAGCAGTTACATTTTGGTGCCTCAGGCATCGGAACTGCTGCACCAGTAGAGGTGGAACAGGAAAATCTGAACAACAAGCTGGCGAAAGAAGCCCTCCTCTGCTATCACTGCAGACTGGCAGGGTCGCCTACAAAGCACCGTAACCTGTTAATCAAGTAATGTTGCTTTTTATTTAAGGGTTGTCCCATTTCGTGGGGAAGACTCCAACCACCACCCCTTGTAACTCAGTTCCAAGGCGCAAGGTGACACTCAAAAACAAGGAGTAGAGGTAAAAATAAGAAAGGGGCTTGGGCCTAAGTAGCTTTTTTCCCCAACAAAGAAAGTGATATGACTGTTAATATCATAGAATTTCCCCACTAAGTCTGAGAACACACTGAAGATGCTGGAAGAGGACTGATTTCTAAAGTAGCAGCAACGATGCATTTTGCATTTGTGTATTAAGCACTGCAACTGTAGGGTGCATCACACTGGCTACACCTCTACAGATAGACACTGGCTGTCAAAAGTTTGGGTTCACCTAACTTAGCTAGCTTACACATTTTAAATGTAACACTAATAGGCATGTTTCATTTAACACTTACGTATATGTTTTCTTTTGGATATTAATACAAATGACAATTATTTCCAATATACAAACAATATCGCCTGTGCAAATACTTGTAATATTAGTGATGAAGCTACATTGTGAATAAAGTCAAAGGCCACTCTCACTTTTTTTAAACCAGCTTTGAAACAACAGCTTTAATTTGTGCTTTTAGCAATAACTATGATAAACTAAAACTTGAAGTAACAGTGAGACAATTTAAATTACAAAAGTAGGCAGTGCCCCAAATCTTTTGACGGGCGGCACATAATTGTATATAAATTGGTACATGAGTCATAAACAGACATTTATGAACACTCATGCAGACAGGATCATCTGTGTAAATAACTCTGTGTAAAGAAAATGTTTACATTAACATTTATAAACTATAGTAATGAATGCAGAGTTACGTATGTAATATAAATGTATAATTAGTTCTTAAGCATAGATCTTTCTAATAAAGTGCTATGCTCCTTGCTTTCCCCTCATCCCCTCTCACCACTCTTCCGGTAATGAACGGTGAAGCCAATGTTTCGGCGTCTGTGGCCTGGCACCCAGCTCAGGTTCACGAATGTTTCTCCTACAGTCACATTCACAGAGGATGGAGGCTCTGAACAAAGACAACAAAGTGCAAAAGTGATGAACAAATTCAAATTAAGCATCAGCAGAATAAAATTCAATGTAAAAATGCAGCTGAAGTGAATCGGCTGCATTGATTTTGGAATACTTAAAGTTTACAATCAATTATAATTTTAAAAAGTACACAACAAAAAAAAAGTTTTTTTATTGAATATTTGAATCACATAAAAAAAAACTTACACCACCAAATAGGGATTACATGAACTGAAATATGAAGTGTAGAGTTACCGCCGTCAAGCAAGGTGGAGCCGTTAACTCTGGCTGGATCTCCGTCTCCTGCATTAGTGAGGGCTCTCAAGTCGAAGAAGTAATGGCCCTGTGGGTTCAGGTTGCTCAGCGTGAAGTGTGTCTCTTTGGGATCATCAATGGGCATAGTTTGCAGTGTGCCAGGAATGTTCTCTACAACTAGGGAACCAGTAGGAAGGAAATGAGCAAAAAAAGATATTTCTGAATATTCACACTTAAAGAATAATGCTAATGTTATAACATTATAACATACTATAAGTATTCATCAATTGATTATCAGTAAGGTCCAAAGGTCAAATGCTGAGGGTTTTACTGGGTTTACTAGCTCAACTAGCCCCTTATCTTACCTTAAATGTTGAATATATTAGCTTGTTAACATGCACTTGGAATATAGCATATAAAAAATGACTTAAGATCTAAAAAGATCCTTCATTCCGTCATTTTAGAATGGCATAAAAGCTATCTTAAGATAGCTTTCGTGCTATTCTAAAATGACAAAATAAAAGAAAAACAGGACCTAAACACCTGCCTAAGTACCTAGACAGTTAGCTGTTTAGCTAAAATTTGCTAGCCAGGAGCTGTGATAGGTGAGATTTGTTTTGCTATTTAAACATCATTAGCTGTTAACAGCAATTACTAGTTGAATTCTTTGTCAGAAATGAACTTATAAACAGGTAACGTTAAAACGATTCCGGCTTAATCTTAGTCAAACAAGTACCTCTACAGGGAAAATATACTCACAGAGGTAACACAGAAGAAGACATACGTACAGAAGTAACATATTATAACATACTGTAACTGTACATCTACACAGTGGACCTATAAGGTAGGCATTTCTAATAAAGTGGCCAGTTAGTGGAAGCACAAGGTGAGTGCTTCTAATGAAGTGGTCAGTTAGGGGAAGCACAAGGTAGATGTTTCTAATAAAGTGACCCATGACTGGAAGTAAAAGGCAGAGGTTTCTAATAAAGCTAACGATTTAGTCTTATTATTCAGTGCTTTTGATTTAACTCTTAATATGTGTTTAAACAAAAGAAACTTCTGAAGATGCTGCTAGAACAGTTACATGTGAACAGTGAAAGTGAAACCTACACTCTTGGCACTTTAGAATATATCCTTTGAGGACTCCGTTCATCTTGTGTGGAGGTCTCCAGTAGAGGGTGAGCTCGGTCTTTGATGGACTCTCAAGCTTCCAGATGGAGGGTGGGCCAGGGACTGAAACCAAGAGGAACAAATTAAGAATTAATTTGTGTGCATGGTGATGAAAACACACAAAGAACATTTCAGGTGCTATTTTTTCCAGGTTTTTCCAATCATATGTGGCACAGAATTTAAGCATAAACAAATAAATAAAATACTAAAATAAAACCAAAAAAACCCACAAAACCTAAATTATTACACTCAAATCTTCTTGACTTCGATTTTCTTAAATCATTTTAGGCAAGTGTGTGATGATTTAAGCATGCAGCTGGCACCATGCTAATTGGTGGGGTATAAGTTTTCATGGTAGCTGCCTTAGCCTATTAGCTCCAGTGCTAAAACTAAATTAGCACAAGTCTTGGCTGACTGACTATATTTAGAGTAAGTGAGAAAACTGTGTAAATGTAAATGTAAATTCAAGTTTAGATGCTGGTTTGTGTTGTGTTACCTCCTTCTGGTGTGCTAAAGTGATAAGTCTCAGAGTGAGGCCCCTCTCCTTTGCTGTTGAAGGCAGTGATTGACAGCTGGTAATCAGAATAAAACTCCAAACCACTCAGAACCTCCTGTTCTTTCCTGTCTCCATGAACCACAATCACTCTGCTCTCCTCCTCTCTCTCCATGTCCCTCAGGGCCAGCTCTCTTTTACCTCTGTGATCATGGATGCCTTGTGGATGCAGTCTCCGCAGATAGATCTGCAAACAACAGATAAACAAATGTAGTCACAATAATGCCACTGAAAGGGAGCAGGTGGTTAACTTACTAATTAATATACACTTCCCGGCCACTTTATCAGAAACCCTCTCCTGTAGCTCCACCTTGCTGGCGCACAGTTTGAGACTATAGCTCATCTGTTGACAGTTTGTGTTAGTCATCCTCTAGTCCTTCATCAGCGGTCATTTTCTGACTACAAAGTAGCACTCAGCTGGATATTTTTAGGTGATGGACCACTCTCAGCAAATAAGCTTCCATAGATGAAATGAAATTCCAGGGGTCTACAAAAAGGTGGTATTAAAAAATTCTGGTTTACTGCACAGTGTCATCACAGCCAGTGCAGGACTCTTGTGCTGCTTATTTGGACTGCACCGGCCGTGTTATTGGCCAATAAAGACCAGATCACTGACCATTTTGGATGCTGCTATTTCAACAGATGAAAATACTTTTAATTGAATTTCAACAAGAAGTCAATGCTAGGGGGAAACATAATTTGTGCAGTGTGTAGATGTGCTATAAAGTTTTCAGCGTTGTGAAGCTGGATTGGGGTCAGTGGCCCACAACTTTTACCAAATTCTATATATTTTTCCCTAACTCACATTAACCTATTTCTATTAACACTACTGTATACTCCACCAACAACGCTGTGTCTGATACACTCAAACCAGCACCGCCCACATGAGTGTCATTGCTGTGCTGAGAATTGTCCACCACTGAATCGATACCTGGACACCAGCAGTCCTGTGGTCAGAAACTGACCAATGATAAAGGTTGTAGAGGGAGACTGATAACCTGTGAAGCAGCAGATGGACTACAGTCTGCAACTGTCCACCTACATAGTGGATCTATAAGGCATATATTTCTAATAAAATAGCGGGTGAGTAGTAGCAATTTATATGTATAACAAACACCATAATAACTGAGCAAGTTAGTGATGATTGAGTATGCAGACATACCTTATAGCCTAGCAAATGTCCACGTACAGACTCTCTACTGACTGCATTCCATGTGACATTAATAGCTGTGCCGTTAATCTGGGACACTCTAATCCCAGTTGGGGGCTTCTCAGGAACTGGGGGAAAGGAGGGATTTCACATAATTAGTAGCAAGCAATAAAAATAAGCAAAGAAATGGTCAATGTGTCTAGGTAAAGAGAGCTGTAAATGATTCTAAAATGACTGAGAAAGACACCATCAAAAATTAAGTTCAAATAAAATTAATACAGAGCATTATGCACTAATAAAATTAAGCTCTAATAAAACTGACATTCCGATTGAATGTATAATAAAATGACCATCCATAATATGAAAGGCATTATTTAGAAAAACGTACGGTCTTCTCCTGAATGGCCAATTTCAGAAGCAGGACTGGGACCTTCACCCAGCTTGTTAACTGCTTGCACCTTGATCTCAAAGGCAGTGAAGGTGCCGGTATTGTTGACAGTGAATGGTGGATGGAACACATAACCATGCTCCCATTTTAGTTGCTGGCCAGCCGACTGACGCCAAAACACCTTATACTTAAAATCTGGTCCATTAAAGTGTTTCCGCTCCATCTCCTGAAAGGAAGACAAAAAAAGCAAGTCAGAGAAGCTGTCTGTGTTGTTTTCTTATAACAATATGTTTCTTTTCTTGTGCTGATGGAGTCCTGCAGGGATGCACACTGCCGCTGCCGAGTATTGTTTAATGTCTCAATGTTATAAAAAAACCTAGAACAGGGGTGCACAACTCCGGTCCTAGAGGGCCGGAGTCCAGCACAGTTCAGTAATTTACCTACTAAGACACACCTGATTGCATTTATCTGTTAATTGACAGGTTTAGTGGGTTTGAGTAGAGAAATCTCCAAACTGTGCTGGACACTGGCCCTCCAGGACCAGAGTTGTGCACCCTTGACCTAGAAGCTCTGTGTTAATGCCTTGTGTATATTTATCTTATATAATAATCTTATATTAAGCAAACATGATCACTGGTATTAAAAACTATTTGTCCCCAGATGTTTGAGATGATATTGGTGACAATCATGGGAAAGATATTTAAAGTGGCGTCCTTAACCAACAAAAGGCGTTTCATTCATTCATCTTCTAAGCCGCTTATCCCCCTGGGTCGTGGGTAGTGCTGGAGCCTATCCCAGTACACTTTGGGGAGAAGGCAGGAAACACCCCGCACAGTCCACAGCAGGGCAGACATATACACTATATTGCCAAAAGTTTTCAATCACCCATCCAAATCATTGAATTCAGGTGTTCCAATCACTTCCATGGCCACAGGTGTATAAAACCAAGCACCTAGCCATGCAGACTGCTTCTACAAACATTTGTGAAAGAATGGGTCGCTCTCAGGAGCTCAGTGAATTCCAGCGTGGTGCCGTGATAGGATGCCACCTGTGCAACAGGTCCAGTCGTGAAATTTCCTCGCTACTAAATATTCCACAGTCAACTGTCAGTGGTATTATAACAAAATGGAAGCGATTGGGAACGACAGCAATTCAGCCACAAAGTGGTAGGCCATGTAAAATGACAGAGCGGGGTCAGCGGATGCTGAGGTGCATAGTGCGCAGAGGTCACCAACTTTCTGCAGAGTCAATCACTACAGACCTCCAAACTTCATGTGGCCTTCAGATTAGCTCAAGAACAGTGCGTAGAGAGCTTCATGAAAAGGGTTTCCATGGCCGAGCAGCTGCATCCAAGCCTTACATCACCAAGCGCAATGCAAAGCGTCGAATGCAGTAGTGTAAAGCGCTGCCACTGGACTCTAGAGCAGTGGAGACGTGTTCTCTGGAGTGACGAATCACGCTTCTCCGTCTGGCAATCTGATGGACGAGTCTGGGTTTGGCGGTTGCCAGGAGAACGGCACATGTCTGACTGCATTGTGCCAAGTGTAAAGTTTGGTGGAGGGGGGATTATGGTGTGGGGTTGTTTTTCAGGAATTGGGCTCGGCCCCTTAGTTCCAATGAAAAGAACTCTTAATGTTTCAGCAGACCAAGAGATTTTGGACAATTTCATGCTCCCAACTTTGTGGGAACAGTTTGGGGATGGCCTCTTCCTGTTCCAACATGACTGCGCACCAGTGCACAAAGCAAGGTCCATAAAGACATGGATGAGCGAGTTTGGTGTGGAAGAACTTGACTGGCCTGCACAGAATCCTGACCTCTTACCCATTGCACTACAGATTGAAAGATGTTTCATTCCAGAATAATTCAATTGGTTTTCATTATTATGTACCCCTGTGATTGTCTTGTGTTATAGGGACATAAATGAAAGTTATATAGGGACATTACCATTACACTGCAAGGAACCACAACTTAGTTTTAGTTTAGTTGTACAGCTTGATTAATCTACAGCAACCAGAAAAAACTTCAGTAATTCATATCAGTAATATATCTTTATCTAGTGTCTGTGTCCCACACTGTCCCAGAATGTTTCAGAGGCAATTAATGGGGCATAAACGATAACAAAATGAATTTAATGAATTGGTCCTTTAAGTTTAGAATAGGAAGCAGAGCAATAGAGCAATACAATCTGGCTGCAGACATGCACTCTCAGACAGATGCACTCTCAGCCCCAGTGACGCCATGTGCACATGCACTCTCTGCCACGACAGCAGAAGCGGCCCAACGGCACGTTAACTTTTGTTTTTTTCTGCTCCGCGACATCATCACCTAATCCACTGTTCATCCATAACACAGCTAGAGAATTAAATTGAATGTACCTTCTTGTTGTAAAAAGTCAAAGAACCCATTAAAAGTGTCTGTTGGTTCCTAGTGGTTTTCAGCAGTCACTGATGGTATTCTGTGTTTTTCTGTTGGGTTGATATCACCGTGTAAAGAATTCTGATCATTTAATCAGGTGAATTGGGACTGATTCCAGATACATTTGGTTTCCTTATGGTCTCTAACGGCAACCATCAAGCCAATTCCCGTTAGGAAGCAAAACCCTCAGGTTTTATTCCTAATGGTTTTGATCGTCTTCAGCAAGGCTTTCATGAGTTTCAGTTTGTTTCTTCTGTGAATAAACCCGACATTGTTGTCTTATCGTGATTTTATTTTGAAAGTTTCCATATTTAATGATCTTATTATCAGTATGACAACGTTATAACGTTATTCAGTGTAAATCTTGTTGCCCAACAGTGCGTGGTTTGCTGTTTTTCCTCATAAAACCATTAATAGGCTGGCGCTGGCCAGCTCAGGCTCAGAGTGCACAGTCTGCAGCCAAACCCTTCTCGTTTATATGTTCATAAAGAGTATATCTGCTCTCTGTGTACCTCCCATGTGATGACCATGTTGTCCGGGTCAGTGGACTCGCTCCTCACATTCTTTGGGTAAGCATCAGGTTCTGTACAGACACAGAAATAAAGTCATCACACAAAACAAATCGCTTACATTTTTTTATATGTGCAGGTGAGCTAGCATAAAAAACGATGTATTTTTCATTTTGTGATCATGTTCCACCAAAAAGTGAGAGAGGGGTATGGCTGTGCTAGTAACATACTTGCGGGAGGTGTTGTATATGATTCTGATGGCATGCTGAAGTCACTCATCCCGATCTCATTAACAGCTGCCACCCTGAAGTGGTAAGTGCAGAAAGGCAGTAAAGGAATCTCAATGTGGTTGATTTCTGCAGAAATTTGTTCTGCCACCTTCCAGCCACTTGCCTCTGAATGCACATCTTCTCTCATTTCTATCACGTACTCTACAGAATGGCAGAGAGGAACAGGCAGTAAAAAAAAATAAATAAATAATAATAATATGAACGTTTTTGATTACAAGTAATTTTCATGGTTTTATTCACACTCAAACTTATAATTTTCTATTATACTGTTAAAAGTCAGCAGTCTACTGAAATTAATATGATAAACATTTCTTCAGATTTATCTTCAGACAATCTCAGAGAACATGTGGACTATTAAAATATGGGCTAATGAGCGTTTCTTTTTAGTTTTTAATTACCCAACACAGGGCTGTTGTTTTCATTTCCAGGGGTCCAGGAGAGAGTGACACTGCGGCTTTTCTTCTCAGAGAGCTGGAGAGAGTGAGGAGCATCCGGCTTATCTACAGAAAAAATACGAGAAATTCCTACTGAGAAACCTGGGCCTGTCCCAGAGAGTGAATCAACAACTCTTACCCGTATTCACTCACTGATTCTGTAATTCAAGCATTCACTCACTTATTTTGTCATCCATTCACTCCCTTATTGTCTAAGTCACTCAGTTACTTACTTAATTCTTAACACTTAATTCTCTTATTTTCTAATTGATGCTCTCAAATTCACTGATTCACTTACAAATTCTCTAATTCTCACTTATTCTCACACACTTGTTCACTTATTCATTCATCTACTCCCTCACTGACTCACTCATTCACTCCCTCTCTCACCAATTCACCCTCTCACTCCCTCACTCACTAGTTCACTGTAAAAACTCAGGGATTCCAAGATTTTATTTGTTCGTGACTCACCAACCACAGTAAGGGACCCAAAGGCTATGTCCATGTCCAGCTCAGTGATGACCTCACAGCTGTAGCGCCCAGCGTCCTTGTGCTGGAGGTCCGTGATTTTGAGAGAACCGTTCTCAAACACTGTGTACCTGCGTGATACAACCAAACAGATTATTACACTCTCAAACCAGATGTGTTCTGTTTCTTTGGTTCCTGAAGCGGTATTTAAAGAACTTCTCAAATATTTTTAAACCTAATCTAATCAGAATTACCGCCTGCCCTTTGGCTTCTATCATAGTTTTCTAAGTACAGGGAAACTTATTGTCTGGAGTAGCAGATGGAGATAAGGCTTAAAAATGCTAAATCATTCCTTTAAAACTATAAAAATTTATGTTTACTCAACAAAATTTTACATTCAAAGCCAAAGAAACAATGACATTTTGTTTTGAGTTTGAGTTTTGCAGTAAAATTTAAATATCAGAGACATTATAGTTATTCTCTTTAAAAAAAAAAAACAAGTGTTTACTTGTCATCCTGCGCTGATGTTGTGATTTTCTGGCTGTCTTTCCTCCACACGATGGTGGGGTCCTTGAGCTGAAGGTCCACTTCATACTGGCACTGCATAACTCCAGACTGACCACGTTGAACCTGAAGGTGCCCTGGAGGGCTTATAATCTGAGTTCTGTCTGAAAAAAAAAACAAAAAATGGCCCATGTCAGTACACATATGGTACCTATCACTTGCTCCCAATTTTTCTATTTATTCATACACTGCTCATCAAAAGTTTGGAGACACCTACTGTTTCTAAATATTTGAACACAAATGAGCATGCTTTGTTTATGGCTACACAATAACTCAACATATTAAATAGCTGTTTAGATAATACTATAATTCCTTGCTCTGTTAAAGTGAACATACAGTTCTACCTTGGGAATAAAGCCCAAAGCCACGCATCTGCACATTTTATAGACACTATAATTTACCTTTCTATAATACTCCCATCTATTACAGAGGTCTAAAAAGTAATTCTGATCTCGAAACCAGACCCTCAGTCTTAACCTTAAGTGGTCACTCACTGCCTGTCAAAAGGATTCCTTGCATGTCATAATGTAATTTACCATATTAAAGCTTAATCAGGTTTATTTAGAGGAAAACAACAGCACATATGTAAATATTTACCCCAACATTAGTGACAGTGCTAGCTAGGGAATACGCTTGCTCATTTCCACCCATTGTTGTGATGTCATCACTCAAAAGCAGTCAAACCTTGTTTAACCCTCTGGGGTCTGCAAGGATTATCTTCATTTTTGCAAATATTCTTAAATTTGCCTTTAAAAGCAATTGAATACGAAATGATACCCACATATTACACTTTTAAAAATGTTTAGAACAATCTCAGCTCTCTCTATGATGAGGCCCTTTTGACCTGGAGCACTCTGTAAAGAGATAAATGGACCCAAAAGCTGAAAAAATGAAATCTGGTTTTAGAAATTCTTCATACGGCTTGTGAAAACAGTTTTACTCATGTGGACGATTGTTCTGGTGCTTGAAATGGGTTTATCAAAGTATAAGGGTTACATAAGTAGTGGAATGTATGAATAAAATAGCTGACAAATGTTCTCTTCATTGCTTTTTCCAAAACCGCTGCAAATTTCTACATACCACTGTGCCCAAGACGACTGAACAAAAAATGAAGTGTTTTCGCTGTGATGGGTCAGTCCTTTGTGATTTCCTGAGTGTCCATTAAAGCTCAACAATTTAACAAACCGTAACTTATCACATTAGCTTTTGTTAAACAGTGCTTTACTGACTGATTGTCAGGTAGCTGCTGTGAAACTGAAATAACAGAAGAAACTCACAGTCTGAAATAATATTAAAATTGCAGTATGGGGGGGCGGAGCTTTTTTATTACATGCTTCATAATTAATTATGGTGGGTTTTGATATGACAGCTTGCAAAACTGCATCTCCTTACTTACTCAGAACCTCCAGGATGGCAGTAATGGACAGGCTGGAGTTTTTCACTGAGCAGAAATAGGATCCTGCATCATCTTGGCTTACGTTCGTGATCTGTAATGTGCCGTTGGTCATCTGGGACATTTTAGGGTTGGACAGAACCGGTTCTGCTCCATTACTTTCCCTGAAAACAACACCAAAAATATAAATATAGTCACGGTACAGAGTGACTGAAACAGATCTAAAGACCAAAACAAGTCACCAAAACTATCACCATACAAGCAATGAAACAAGATACAAAAAATTTACATTAAAAAACGCAAACATTTTCGTTTGTCGACCAGCCAAAAATATCCAGCCAAAGACGACTCTGTGGTCAGAAACTGACCATTAACCTTTGTGTGGTGTTTGGGTCTGTGGGACCCATTTTCAATGTTTACCAAAAGAAAAAGTATTGCGATTTGTTATTATTTCAATCTCAGATTCCTTGGCCTTTGCTCATTTTCTGTGAAGAATATATAAAATAACACATTTTCAGTGACTTCACACTGTACACCCCCTACACATTTATATTACCCATGTGGTGCTGTGTCCCTTCACTGTATTCTCCTCCTACATCGCCTTCTGTGTGTGTGTTTGTTTGTGTATGTGTTTGTATATGTGTGTGTGTGTATGTGTGTGTGTATGTGTGTGTGTGTGTGTGTGTGTGTGTGTGTGTGAGGGTGGACAACATGGACAGGCTGCTGATGGGCTACAGCTGCTAAAGGAGAACCATACGTTGACCACTTGTGATATTGTAGCATCTGGTATTTTTACATAAATTGTCATGGCTGTATTGATTTAAAAAAAACAATAATGCAGTGGATCCACCAGACCACTGAGTAACAAACACATCAACACCACATAAGGGTTAATGAAGGACTTAGAGCAGGGGTCTCAAAGTCTGTTCCTGCAGGGCTGAAGTCCAGCACAATTTGGTGATTTACCTAGTTAGGCACACCTATTAAACCTGGCAATTAACTGATGAGTTAAATCAGGTGTGTTTGAGCAGAAAAATCACCAAATAGTGTGGAATTCTAGCCTTCCAGGAGCCGAGTGTGAGACCTCTGGACTAGAGGAGCTACAGATGAGCTACAGTCTCTAACTGTACAAGATGGAGCTACAAGTGAGGCATTTCTGATAAAGTGAAAACTAAAAAAAAATAGAGGAAAAATAATGTGTTTGTGTCTCACCAGCTGATCTTCGGTCGTGGAGAGCCGAAAGGTGCTGCAGTTGAGGGAAGCAGAACTGCCCTCTGTCACTCTGTAAATCTCCTCATCTTCAGTCAGCATCTGAGGGGGGAGCTCTGAGAGAGAGAGAGAGAGACAGAGAGAGAGAGAGAGATAGACATTAATGAGAAGAAAAGAAAGAAAGAACGAAAGAAAGAAAGAGAAAAAAAAGAAATGAGAAAAAAGAGAAAGAAAGAAAATTTAATGGGAAAATGGGAAAGTTAGACAAAACAGAAAGAAATAAAGAAAGAAGGAAAAAAGAAAGAATGAAAGAAACAACAAGAAAAAAAAGAAAAATATGTGAAAACGTAATACGTAAGAGTAAGATCAAAATAAATATGAAAAGAAAGATAGAGAAATAAAAACGAAAGACAAAAATGGGAGGAAAAAGATGAAAAGAAGAGTAAGTAAAGAAATCTTAGATATTTGTATGATTGTATTGCAATATTGGTTGTAATGGCTCTTTATTGAAGGAAACAATGTGGTGTCCTGTAGGGCTGTGGACAGTGACTGACCGATGATGTGGATGTAGGTGTTGATCAGGCTGCTTCCGTATATATTGGAGGCTTCACACTGATACACTGCAGTGTCACTGTAGTGAACGTTACTCAAAATCAGTGTTCCCCCCGTAACCTGCCGCCTCCAATCTTCATCCGTCTCTACAACACACAACACACACACACACACAGCAGGTTAGTAACACAGAACAGGGCTTCAGTGGAGAACCGTGACTATTCAAGTTAGAGCTTCAGCTCAGGCCATAAATGTCAAAACTCCAAATTGGGTAATTTTATTGGTTGTTTCAAGGTTTTAACCTTTTTTGGAGATTTACCATTTTATTTTAGACCAAAAGGGTCCAAAATGAGAATACAGATCTGTATGCTGAACGGACTAAAAAGCTCCACTGCAGTTCTAGAAGTTACTCAGTACTAAAGTTGGTTTTTGCTACGTTTTGTAGCTTCTACTTCTACTTAAGCTGTTATTTAGGAAAGGTACTGCAGCGTCCCGCTGCTGGCTTGTGCAGCCATGCAGCGCAGCCACACACGTGGACTCATGGGAGCGCTGCGGTCGCAGTAGCCCTGCGTTCACACCAGCAGCATTGCAACACAACAAGGCAGACTGGGGTCATTCATTTTGACCAATAGGAACTGAAAACTGAGCAGCATAGAACGCACTTTATCTCCGCCACCATGAAACGGTACGCTCCTGTTCTGCTTCCTAGATAACTGTTTCTACTAGAGGTGGAATAATGGCAGTGGTGCTTTCGTTGCAAATAGACAGTAATTGCAAAGACCAAATACTGTTTTCCTCACATACTGATTGCACAGACACAGGGATTAAATACAAATAAGCACACAAGCGATTTCTCACCAGGATTTTTATTTTTAGATGGAACGCATCTGATTTGTGCTTGGTGTCAATGAAACCATGGCAAAGTTCGAGTTAAGAAACACCCATCACCCATGGGTGATGAGCAATCAACGATTTGAACGCAGGGTAAGAGAGACTTTAACGCGTAAATAAGCTGTTGTTAGCTGAAAGATGTGCACATGTGCTATTTGTGTCATTCTGTGCTGGGCTGTGGGATAGTAATGTCAGTGTTAGTGCCAACTGTTAATCAGAAGTATATGGCTAGAAGAGACCTGCCTGCTATCTCGGCCATTTCAGCAGTGCTGAGTGGCAGTTCTCCCCTGCTGTGTTCAATAAAAGAGCATTTGCCTTTACAGTGCAATGTGTCCCATGTCTTCCTCTTCACCGACGCCACAGTACTTTTACTGCAGTCATCATTTCATTGCAGTAACAACGCTTTTACTGGAGGAGACTGTGTTTGTGTGTCTGCACCTGATATAGGTACTCCGTTGATTTTCCATGTGATATGAGGGGTGGGGATGCCCTCTGCTTGGCAGTCCAGCCGCACCGTCTCTCCTGCAGCGTACAGCTGACTCTGAGGCTTTTTAGTCCAGTACGGAGCGGCTGCAGAGAGAAAAACACAAATAATTTTCCTCTCAATAATACCTGAATATCAGAAGATGTAAAAGATGAATGACAGTGAGAGATGGAGCAAGACAGAGAAAGAATATGTATGTGTGCACTGCTGTTTAAAAGTTTGGACTCACTTGTCATATTTGCAACTGTTATTTGTTCATACAATGTGGACTTATAAATGGACCCCTAGAGGACTGCTTCAACCTAACTCACTAACTCACATAAGGCTGGAGCAAAAATGTAGGGCGTCTTGGGGCCTATGAGGACTGTTTTGAGAACCTATTTTATAAACTATTCACCAAAAGTTTAGTAAGTTTAACAAGTATTATTTCAAGATCTCTGTTAACAAGAAGTGAATAAAATGCACACCGAAAATCTGATTTCTTGCGTAGTTGTTCACCATCTTTGCACTGGCTGGAGAAGATGCTTTATTTATTAAACTGCCTTCAATTAACTGTATAAACTTAATTTGCTTTTCAAAAATTGTTTTCATATAAATTATCTTGTTATTTGTCAGTTGGCAAAACTTGGGCTGTTTCTTTTGGTCCATTCTTCATGAAATTTACACACAGTGTAAGAGACAACAGGTACTTCAATTATAAGTGTATAAGCAGTTTGGAAACACCTTGCTTTTCAAAAATGTTTTTCATACAAATCATCATATTTTATTTGTAGGTGTCTTTCCTTCCTCCCAATGACCTCTGGGACAGGCTCCAGCACCCCCCGCGACCCAGAAGGATAAACCTCTTAGATAGTGAGTGTGTGTGTGTATATATATATATATATAGTTTAACTAAGAACACTATAATGTGTGCATGCACGTGTTTGTGTATAATTACCTTTCACTTCAACTGTATATAAGTGTAATAAGGACCCCTGTGAATTGTTGGCTGTGCAGGAATATTCTCCATCATCACTCTCCAAAATTTCCTCAAAGCGCAGCCAGCGATCAAAATTCTGCACTGAGGCTCTGTCAGGAGAAAGTGGGCCATCTTTTCTCTCCCAGGTCACAGTGGGAGTGGGCCTGGGGCAGAAATATGAAATATGACAAATAAGGATGTAATTAGTGGTGGATGGTTTTGATAAAACTAAAGTATTACAATCATAGGGTCATAATATCAAATGATGTTTAAATTATTAGCATTAATGAATTTAAAGAAGGAAACATACTGTTTAATTAATGTTTACACATTCCAAACTGTTCTTCACTCTGAAGCATACCACAAATTACATAGGTTTTCGTTGTTGTTATTTAAATTAATATTGTTGTGTGACAGTGGCATATACTTACACTACTGTTTGAAAGTTTGACATCCCTCTTTTCAATAAAAAACTATTTGTTTTCAGATAAATGTATAAAACGATTCTAATATTCCAGTCCTGTTCAACTAATAATTAGTAAAATCGATAAAGAAATGTTGAAAATAATAACAGAACTGTAGAAGATTCTAAAATGACAGAGATTTCTGTATAACTTTGGGAATAAAGTTAAAATAAATAGAATATCCAGAGATCACAAGTAAAATAAAAAAACTAACAAAAATAGGTACATACAGTATATTACTTATAATTTAATTAAAAAACGGAACTGTTGAGGAATCTAACATCTTGTAATGTTTAAATCCAAACTATTTATGATATTACTGTATATAATATAACAAAAAATGTCAATAGGGCAAGTGATTCTACGTTAAATGCACATCACCCAGTTTTCAAGTTTAGTGTACATCACCCAGTATTGGTAAAAAAAAAGTCATAAAAAGGAACAGTGAGAATATGTAAATGTGTGTAAGGTTTGAGGAGACATGATACAGTATGACAATTTATATTATAGTGTGATATATACTTTTGTAAATGCTTGCTTCTACTGTAGGTGTGTTTTGAGCCAATGGGTTTTCTATTCTGGCTCAGTGAGCGTTGTACTTACAGGCCATGTGGAATGCACTCCAGTGTCAGGGTCTGTCCTCGGAGGGCAAGGTAGTGGCTGCGTGTGCCTTCGGGCCGGTGGAGACGCGGCTTTCTGTTCTTCACCACCATGTTAGCTTTAGATAAAACAGACAAAGCCAATGAATGGTGGAATAGAGCATATTCTGATATATAAGCAGTACAGATGTTGTTTTTACTGCTTATCTTAGATGTCTTACATATTGATTGTGGTCTTTTCTAGTGAAGCTTACAAGAATGTATTTAAAACTTTAATTCTATTGTTAACAAGAACCACATATGCATTTCTGAAGTATTTTAAAGAACATATCTCCTACATTTTTCTTTTATCCCCCCCACCCCCCGGAGGATAAGCTAACTGTGTTCAGGGCCACAGAATCGTTCGGTGGGATGATGTAACGAGCTAGCTGTTCATTGATTGGTTCTACATTTACATCTGTATCGTGACACCGTATACTGCAGCATTATTTTACAAACAGAAAACAATCAAATAAGCAGTGCACTATTTATATCCTTCGTTCAACATCAAAGCTCCAATCTAGCACCAGTTTCTAAATTTTAAACAGCGCCTCTTAACCAAGAGAGGGTAGCAGGTTAGTATGGGCTTAGCTAATATGCCTCCAGCTCTGCTCACCACAGAACAGGTCAGATTCTGACAAACAAAACCTTTACTGATGCAAGTTTAGATCATGATGATTCAACTCTGTGGAAGTGAAGTCGAGTGGCTGGTATTAGAGGTACAGAAAGCTACAGAAAGCTGAAATTAAACCTATTCTGGCTGTTTTTGAACTGTAGTCTCCTAGCCAAGCTAATGCCAGCTGGCAGCTCTTTCCTAGTTAACTTAGCTTAGCTAAATCCAAACACCCCAGTACTGGTTCGATTCGACTAACTGGTGATCTGCTATCACAAGTATAGATGATAAAAATGTCTAACAGCAAGAGCAAAGTCGTCTAATTGGTGCTGGAGTGACCAAAAGCCGAAATCAAACCTGTTCTGTAGTGCCTAAAGGTAATACAAGCACACAGTGCCTCTCACTGTAGTGCAGGCTCAGTTCAAGCAAACAGATGTTTAAAAACACCCATTTAGAGTATAAAGACTCAGGTCTGAGATGACAAATTTGAATGTCTGGTGTTTAAGTGAAAGAAAGACAAAAAACAGAATCATTCTGTGGTGACGTGAGCTGTGTCCTGCTGGGATACGCCACTGCTAGTATAGCTAGCCAGCTACAGGTGCAACCCACCGCAGAAAAGGCTCAGTTTCGGTAACTGATGCTTAAATAATTATAAATTATAAATGCTTAAATAGTGTTTAGATGGTAAAGAATCTGAGAGCACACCGCGAGACCAGTGTCGGAGTTTTTGCAGCCCATTTTGAACTGTATGGACTGGAAGTGAATGGCATGTTTTGAAACTTTGACAATGGTTTACTTAAAACTCCTCTTTTCAAAAAAATGAGGGAAATTAGGTTTTTAAGCTGCAAGCATTGTAATTTCCGTGATGACAACCAGGTTGCTGGTGCCACCTAAGCCAGTTACTTTGTACACTTCATGGTTAGATAACCACCTTTGTAATGTATAAGAAGAACAGAGGCCTGTGGCGTTTCCAGTTGTCAGAGGACGTGGTAGGCATGTCAATTAAATTAGAATTTTATTTATATTGCACCATTTACAAATGGATTAGACATGGTAAAGTCGCTGGATGGCTATTATTGTAGTTTTGCATCCATCACACCTACCTGCTGTGTTTTTTTTTCAGCACCGACAAGGTTTTAACCAAGAGCCTACAAAAGGATTTAGACAGGGATGCTATTGTAGGTTTCTTTGGCACTGGGATAATTTAACGTGGGGATTGTAGCCTAGAGCACGGACGTCTTGCCAGCAGATTTACAAAAAAGCTTCTCTGCACATGTTCACCCTCAATAGCATTCTGCTCTGGCTGTCTCAGGGTGGTGAGACCAGCTGGTTGTTGGTGGGAGCCGTGGCTATAATGGTTTCTTCTGTATTGTTGGTGTCAAATCAAGCATAGGAGGCATAAAGCTCATCTGGCAGAGAGACATCAGTCGCTGTAACACATTTGGCTGTCATAGTCTGTGAATGCTTGAATGGTTACTGAATTACTCAGACAGTCTTTCACCAGAGAGCATCCATGGTTTCTTGGCTGGGGTGTTATCACCACAAGACTGTGTTATCGTTCACAGTCCTGACCAATCGTATTATTTTTTATATTAAGACAGTCATTGGGAACTTTGCTGCTTAATTGCATGTTTAGTGGTGCGAAAGAAGCCAAAGATATTTCAGATTCAGACAGACCCAACCAGCATCCATTTGGAAGTTTTATTACAGCTGTTACAGGTATTGTCAATCGGGATATTAAAAAAAAAAGACCTATCAGCAAATTTGAACAATGAATATGTTCCTCACCAACAGATTAGAAACTAGAGCATAAGAGCAAAAAAAATTAGCACCATATTTAGGGAGAGCCAATAATGCTTGCTGCACATCTACCTACTGCCATTTTGGGCAACATCCAAGATTAAAGCGAAGATCTAAGTGGAACAACTAATCCCTTTCTAAAAGAGAATGGTCACACTTCTAAGACCGGGTGGCTGACCATCTGTTTAAACAGTCATGCTGAGAAAGATTGACCATACAATGCACCAAAAAATGTTGCTACCTGCTGATGTGACAAGGCACAGTATCTTATTAACTGAATAGAATTAAAAATAGAAAAAAAGATTTTAGATTATATGTTAGGTATTTCATAATATAATCCAACTGCAAAACAATTTGAATGCATAAACTTCTGCTAATGTTATGATTAGTATCTCTAGAGCTTATGTTTCGTATGGTTTAGAGAAGTGCAATTTGGGTACTCACATGGGTTAACCTGCAGGGAGATAGGCTCTTTCGGTAAAATGGTTCTGGCGGGGACGTACTGTGCATTGCAAGTATAATCGTCTCTGGTGTCAGTAGCCAGCACATTGGCAAAGTATAGATTGCCATCCAGACCAATGGTGACACGTTCACTCTGACGAATATGCAGCAACTCTGAGGAAAGACAAGAGAGCTGTTAGGCTAACATGGCAAATGCTAAACTACAGCTTTAATTACTATCACTAAGGAATTCAGTTTAATTCAGCTCAGACCAACCCGACAAACAAAAAAAGAGCTTGTCTGAATGAATATGACGATGGAGAGGCAGATATTTGACTCACTCTTGTCCATCCAGTGTATGTATGGGACCACTGAGCTTTTAGGTGGATTACAGTGGAGAACCACACTGTCCCCCTCATTCACCGTCTTTCTTACTCTCCTTTCTTTTGGCAAGATTGGAGGGGCTGTGGGATACAAACATGAATACATTAGTTAAGAGCACTGGCAACTAAAGTGAGAGCCCATAATAAGAGTTTACAGAATTTTGTTGGGTCGCAGTCAAATTCAGACAGAATTCTGTCTGTCTACAGCTGAATTCAGGCAAAATATTTTATCAGATTTCAGCCGGGTTCAGACAAAATTTTGTTGGGTACAGTTGTATTCAGACAGAATTTTGTGGGGTACAGTCAGGTAAAGATGTAATTTTGTGTGGTACATTCGGGTTCAGACGGAATTTTGTGTGGTACATTCGGGTTCAGACGGAATTTTGTGTGGTACAGTCGGGTTCAGACGGAATTTTGTGTGGTACAGTCGGGTTCAGACGGAATTTTGTGTGGTACAGTCGGATTCAGACAGAATTTTATCAGCTTTCAGTGGGGATTGGAAAAAAATTTGTTGTGTACAGTTGGGTTCAGATTCAGATAGAAATCTGGTGGGTTATAGCTGGGTTTAGGGGTGTCAAACTCAGCCACGAAAGGGGCCATATCAGCAAATCTGTGGGCCAGCTGTGTTTTTATTTAACATTTTGCCATGACCCGAATGGGCCATTGTTTATTCAAAATATGCCAAAACTGCGTAAACTGAGTAAAATAGGCACTGAACACTTGTTCAAAAATAATTCTAAATAAAAATAAACTGTTTTATGTAGTTTTTGTAAAACTGCCTATTTGCTTGAACTAGACACCAAGCATCTTTTCTTTTTGTGTAACCGCTGGCCCATAGATTGTTGTTGGGGGTCAGAACATACACTATGCTGCAGTGCATGCTGGGGACTGTAGTGCATCTCAGGGTAAAATAGGCTAATAAGAAATTAGAAATAGATAGATAATAGATAGAAATATTATCTAGAAATAGAAAATTAAAATAATTTTTGGGCCAAATAGGACTGTGTCACAAGGCTGACTTGCGTTTGACACATAGGGTTTAGACTGAATTTTGTTGGGCTACAGTCAGTTTTTGGTCAAGTTACAGTCGATATGGATTCTAAGCTTGGTGCTGTGGGAGAGATCTGCTTGATTAAATCTCTTACTGGCACCCTAGACTCTGGATTCAAAACACTCTTGCTACGCAGACTACTGAATGACATCATGCTATCCTTGTTACTAAGTAATGGTTGTCTTGGTAACAGGGAGGCTGAGTCAGCCGAGGCCACAGATGCTCTCTGGTTTGCAGTGCATATCATGAGTCACAGCACCGTACAGCAATTCTGACTGTATAATCTTTACTGAGACCCTATTTTCTTTGCCATTTTCCTCTAGCATAATTATGGTTAGTAGTCTCAAAAGTTCTGCAGTGAATTCACAGAGGTTTCACAGTGAACAAAATTTTACAGTGAAGCTAAGAGGAGTCTGTTTGCATAGGACCAGCAAATACACTACCAATTAAGAAATAAACCAATCTTTAGTATTGAGGGTAACATTAAATCTTGCCCTGTCAAATCTGCATTGCTGTTCAATTTGTAGAAAACAACTAAAAATATTATTCCTAAAACTGTTTACTTATGACTTTGCATATCTACAGCTCAGGGTTAGTTGTTTTGGAATTGCAGGTTTCTTGGACTTACATCTACATGACTTAAAACCAGCCATTACTACCACCAGTTACTATGACAGGATTATTATATTTAATCATTATATTTTGTTATTTTTATCTTTTTTTTTTTGTTTGTTTTGCTTGTTATAACACAGCAGTAGGAAATTCTAGTTTTACATTTCAAGAACAGCAAAGGTCATTTCCACTCACTGTTCCCTTATTCCTATAATGCAGTTATAAGTTAGTTTTGAGATTTTAGATAACATTAGAACTTACTGTAGGTCAGCAAGAGTTATACTGAAATGGTTGTACAAAAACAGACAGCAGAAGGGACTCACGCTCCGTGATGAGCTCGATCACGTCAGATATGGCCGTTCCCAGCTCATTTGAGGCAAAGCAGCGATACTTCCCCTGGTAGTACTTCAGATCTTCACTCTCATCTGCTGTGACAGTCCCAGAACTAAACGAGTCTTCTTCAAACAACTCCCCATCCTTCACCCACCGAAAACTGAGTGAACGGAGAGATTGACAACCAGAGGAGAAAAGATGGAAGCAGTTTTAGAGACAGTAAAGTGAGCAAGTGAGCGATTCAGTCAGAGGAAAATAATGTCAATAATTCTGTCTCATGATTTCACTTCTTGTGTCTTTCTTTTTGTCGTGTTTTTGGAAGGCCTGCAAATCACACCAATAGTGGGGGAAGAATTTAGGCAACTAAGACTGAATGCATGTGTTCTATAATTTGAAATTTATTTGACCTAAAACAGGGGTCTCAAATTCTGTAAGGGACATTAGCCAAGTGGTCTTCCGAATCAAGTACGAATAATAATAATATTAAATAATATTATTACTATTTGCAATATATAAAGTTGTTCATAACATTTTTTAGTGTTCAATTGAATTAAGTAAACTTCTATTTAACAAAAGAACTATATGGGACTCTTACTGTGATAGTGCTGGTCCTGCTGAACATGAGTAAAGTTACTGGGAGGGAAGTGTTGGCACTTAATTCTGCGTTCTCAGTGGATTCATTTGATAATTGAATTAATTACTTAAATCCGAGATGCTGTATCTACTTCTGTGCCCTGAATGAATCCACAAAGTCAGGGTTAACTAACTATCAGTCTAAATACAATAATAGCTATACAGGTATACACTCCTAAGGAAATGTTTGGGTGACACTGGTCAAATTTCTTGTATTTATTGATGTTTTAAGTGAAAATGAGTTAACACTAAAATAAGTTAACCTCTAGTTATCCTCTACAGAGAGCACACGTTTGCACATTTTAATGCACAATTACAGTTTAGAGGCTGCTTTTAACATATTAAGTAAAAAAGCAATAAAATGCAGCCTGAGCAAAAGTTATGGCATATTTTATATTTTATTTTTTTCCAATATATTAAACTCAAATAAACAGAACTTGTGCACTAAAATTTGCAGATAAATGTTAACTTTGTTCCCTGTTGAGGATGTGTTCACTTCTTTTCACTTAGAAAATGATTCAAAAGATATGACCAGGGGTTATTTGACCAGGGGTGTTCAAACTTTTGCATACAACCACAGCTAAACAATTATATGTTTTCATTTGAATGGTTCTTCTTGCATGCAGGGCTCTGTTTTTGTTTTTATCAGTATAAGCATCAGCGTAAGCTGATTGTTCATTGTTGTTTAATCAGCCAGTATCTGGTAAGTTAAACAACTATACCTGTCAGATGTAAATATATAGCCACAGAAAAATGGAAAAAAACAACTGATTTGCAGGCTGGGTCGAAGGTTAAATTATAAATATATGAAGTGTTTCGAGGCAAAGGTTTATGTTTAAATTAAATCATAACACATCTTCCCTCCATAGCATGATGTATTTGTGAGCGAGACAGTATGAGGGAGGGTGTCTCTGACATTTCACAGTGTCCATGTTTTCACTATTATTCTTGCATAAATAAAGTAAAAAACCTTTACGACCAGTGATACAGACGAGAAAAGTTGCCTGTTTCTTCCTCCATGTTTCTGGAGTGTCTGTTTTCAATTATGAGTATGAAACTGAACAGAAGGACATGAACTGCAGTTCACAGAAGATTTCATATAACGCATTTTCTGTCCCTGTGTTACACTGACTTGACCTAACCTACTTATCAAGAGCAAATAGGATACAAGGTTCAAAAGTGTAATTCAGATAAATAGCAGGAGGTTTCATTTAATGAACCGTCTGATTCTAGGCAGGCTCTCTGTCAGCAGGCTTTTTTATTTGTTTGGCTCAGTGTCTAATACGGGAATTCAGATTGAGCAATCTGGGAGACGTCTACAGTAAATAAAGCAGCTGTCGCCCCCCTAAAAAGCTTTACAGATGCCATTTGCAACCACAGAGCTGACGCTGGTTTTTCGACATTCGTTTAATAGAGTCCAAGCTTTCAGCTGCATTTATCTGCATTGCAGATTTCCAGTTGAAATGAATTCCTCTATGCAAAGTGAAGTAATCATTTGTTAGTTTGCTACACCAGTTAAACAGTTGAGGGGTGATGTATTATACCTAGTGTATAAACTGATTTTGCAGCATTTGTGTTTACTGTTCACATAATATTAAAAATTACATTTGCATTAGATAACATCAAGTTATGATAAGCCTCTAGTCCTTTAGGTTATAATTGTTGCAGGATCCAGTCAGTTTGGCTTCCACTGTTTGCAAAATATCAAGAATGGGCAGAAAACAGGGTTGAAAGAGGGAGTGAAGGAGAAGACTGAAGGAGTGTAAAGATGACAGAGGGTTACTTACCTGGGGGCGGGGTTACCCTTGGCCTCACACTTCAGAAAAACATCATCCAGGTAGAAGGCTGTGTAAGACTCTGGCTGAGACGTGATTACTGGAGGCTGTTTGACTACACAGGGTTAAAGTGTACAGAAAGTAAAGCCACAATGAAAATCAGATAAACAGTCTTCAACAAATCCAAATAAAACAGGGAAGGACTGCTGGACTGAAAAAGCAAATGAAAAGGCAGAGACATTGAGAAAGGTATTATGATGAAGTTAGAGCACTTACGGTCGTTAATTACATCTGTCCAGCCAGAGGAAAGTGGCAGGAGAAAGAAGAGACAAACAAAATTGAAGACATTTAACAAACAGTACATGCTTCTACCACGCTAAATTCTAGAGCTGTTATCCGTTATTAATCTCAAGATTAATATCCAACACCTACTATGAATTATTCAGTAACTATTGAATGAATGAAGAATTGAAGTGTGGATCCACATACAGACTCTTTGAGCAGCAGTAGGCAGTTTATCAGAAATTCTACTTTTTTAGTGTTATGCCATAAGTAAGTGCAGATAAAGCAACGTACAATCAGTCCAAACGTGTCAGGCCTGGTCCTCACATAAAGCCCGGAATCAGCAGCTCAACAGCTGCTACTGACAGCATGAATGACTATAATATTTACTTTTGTATTTTTTGCTGGGCGAGAGAAGCTGCTGCGTCCACACCATATGTTTATGCATTTATATGTTTTTCAGTTCTATTTGTACTATGTTGCTGTACTACTTTATTATGTTTGTAAATACATTACATTTATGTCAGTTGCTAAATATGGTTTTATTAAAAGTAAATTCCATAATAATAATTACCTACAAAAATAGATGTACTTAAAATAGTTTTGTGGAAAAAATCATATATAAATGCACTATACATTGACATATACCATCAAAAATTGTTATTACACCTAGACATAAATTTTTGTCCATACTGCCCACTGCTACCTTAGAGTATATATTATTTTATTAGACTTAAAAATAATATATATATTATTCTTATTAGAGTTTATATTAGTAATCTGTAAGTTCAGTCGTTATAAGAGTGACAAATCACAGTCTAGACCCACATTCAGACTCTTAATTCAGAGTTTAAAAGATTAATGATCATAATCATGATTAAATCATAAACATACTGGTAGTGCTTATAAACCAGGAATGAAGGCTGGTGACTAATGAACGACGACTAACACAAACTGTGCATCAACAGTAAGATGGAGCTATAGGGAGGGGTTTCTGATAAAGTGGCCAGGGATGTCGAGGTCCATTGTTCGATGACACATCAAATTTGCTCATACATCAAACCCTTACCCCAAAATGGCCAATCAGCCAAGACATGTTTGGTTTCTGAGGTTCACTTCTTTAGTTTCAGCACTGGAGGTATGAGGATAATGCAACTGTATGCTGTATTTAGACACCGCATGTCAGTGTTATCCATAAAAAACAGACAAAACTATAGACAAAGTTCAGATTTCTATATGGTTATTACTGTTTTAAGTAATGTTAATGTACTTTAGTCACGTTACCAGATAAAGGTGTGTCACACAGTGTCAAAAACCACATAATTGAGTCTATTAGAGATTACTAAACAGCTCCACTGGTTGGAGGTCAGTGTGTGATGACTAGACATGCAGGCTAATTGGTGGGGTATATGCTTTCATTAATTGTTAGCTACATTAGCATTTTAGCTCTAGTACAAAACTGAAGAAGCAAACTTGAGACACCAAACATATTGACCACATTTAGACCATCAGGGGGAGAATGTGTAAATTTGATTTTGCTGAATTATCCCCTTGAGGACATGAGTCAGTTCTAGAACTTTTGTGGAGACTTACAGTCTTTGGGTATAAGGATGCCTCCTTGGGTTTGTCCCAGAAGGAGCAGCAGAAAAACAGAGAACAGCAGCTGAAGGCTGGGGACTCTGAGCTGCCCTCTAGTGGCTGCTGGCTGACACTGCGCTGGAGGCATTGTTCACTGTCCCATCAAACGTCCACCCTGTGTCCGTCACTCCCACACACTCATACAGACACACACGGGCACACACACACACACCACCACGCTGAGGGGAGGGGAGGCACACGGGATGTGTGTGTAGGTGTGTCTAGAGTGTGTTTGAAGAAAATGGATCTTCTCTGAATCTCCGGTCCACGCCCTTCTGCTGTGAAAGAGAGAAAAGGAGAACGGGAGGGGGAGGAGCAGGGTAGAGAGAGAGAGAGAGATGGAGAAGAAGATGGAGAGGACATGGAAAGGAAAAGAAAAACAAGAAGAGGAAAAAAGAAAGACAAAGGACAGAGAAAGACAGAATTAGTCTCATTAGAATTCAAACACACTCTAGAATTCATTAGAATTGGAGAGAAAAAAATGTCTTGGCTTGGACTGTTTATCATTCAAAAATTTCTGGTACTGATACCCAGACTTTCCTACCGATTTTCCAACTCCTTCATCTAATGTCTTTCTGCAGCCACCCTAGAGAACGTTCTACTGTCAAATGGAAACTGACTCAGATATTGTGAATTGATGTGATCAAGTAAAATATTTGTACCCCATAACTCTGCTATCAGATGAACTACAACTGTGATGTTTCTCTGTGTGTGAAATGATGTGACACTGTGTTGAGTTGCTAGTGAGCAACTGGGGTGAAATCGGAGTAGTGAGAATCCCCTGCTGTGAAAAACAATTCACACCTCTCCACAAAGATGGCCGTGTCAAGATAAATGGGCAACTGCAGCTTTCTTCATATCAAACAATCCTGCCCAACCGACACAATAAACACACAGCATTTAAACACAATAACAACACTGTTGACCTGCTCACTCACCTACAAACATTTAACAGCACGTTACACAAAAGCCTCAACTACTATACATAATATAAAATATGTTACAATAAAAAATTATTAAAAGATACAGAGAAAATGAGACTCCTAACAACCACCTGGAAGACCTGGTAGACACCCAAACTGCCTCATCAGATAAATGACACTTAAAGCTTTCATCTTTGAGAGAGAGGAGAAAATCAAGCTGCTTCAGATCTGAAAACATTCACAGATGTTTCTGTCCATCCTTCTACTATGTCAAGAAGCCTCACTGAGAAAAGGAGACAGACACATCAAACAAAGAAGCTGAACAATGGACTGACCACCCCAGAGTCCAGACCTTAACATCACTGAATGTGTTTGATTACTTCAGAAAATGATTGACCAACTTCTAAGATGTGGAAAGATTTCCCCTCAGATTTATTTGAAAAACTGAAAGCGAGACTCCTGAAAGCAACGGAAGGTGTATTAAAGGTTTAGAGTGACAAATACAAAATATTAAAAAATGTATTATTATTTTTAGGTGTTATTATATTTAGTTGTTGTGGCTTCTGTGTAATTTCTTTGTTAATTATATGTTTTATGTTTTTTCTGGCAATAAAAAAATAAATAATATGCACTTAATGGTCATTTTGACTGAAAGTTGAACAGATGAATAGGTGGGACAGATTTTTTACAGTGTAGGAAATTTGGTATTAATTAACGCAGATTTTTTGGTACATGGACTACTGAAGTAATTCGGTCGGTACCGCAGAAGTACAGAATTTTGTTACCCAGCCCTAGTGCAGCTGATCAACTGCAACTGGGGTTAAGGAGAGAAATCTGTGTACATTTTTTTTTCTTTTGGAAACAATCAGGTCTCAATGAAGAGCAAGCTAATGATATGTGCAGCACATGATGGAGCAATTGGTTTGTTGAGCAAACAAAAGGAAATATAATGCTACTGTTATAAGAACAAGTGGATTAGAGAACAGCACTGCAAATCACACTCACTCTGATTAATAGGACAACAGAGCAGCATTAGATGAGGAGAGATCTGCAGTGAGCATCTCAGAAAGCCACTTTAAATACAAACTAATAGCTTTGATAGGCGAGTGTGGCAGCCTTGTTTTCTTTCCTCTGCTCTTCTCCATCCCTCGCTCTATCTCACAATCCAGCCTTTCCCTTCAAAGCAGAAATCGATAAAACCAGACCTTTCCATCACTTCCCACAGATTAGTCATATCTTACAGTCTAAATCAGCCGTACACAAACATAGATAATCAGGTCTGGCCCTTCAGAGATAAAGGCTCCAACAGAGCTTCCATAATCAACCAATCAGACTTTGGGCTTTTAAAGGAGATGTCCAGAGAAAAATCAAATTTGCCTCTTCTCCCTTTACCATAAATATAGTCAATCAGCCAGGACATGTTTGGTGTCCTTCTTTATAACGTTATCTGTAAAAATAGACCAATATAGAGAGAGAATTCAGGCTTTTTTAACTATGTGACATACTTTAGTTCATGTTTACAGATAACAGTGTGTCATACAGTGTCAGAAGCCACATAATCAAGTCTAACAGACATTATTTTGAGGCAAGTGTACAATGATAATAACAGACAATAAGAGATGACCCCAGTCCCTACTAGTTATGGGTATGGGGCTGATATGATAAAATGCTGGAAGGGGAGGTAATAAAAAAGGATTGAATGTGTCTCAATCCTGCAATAAATCTATCCTGAAACAGCACTCATTCTCACTGTGTGATGTGATCTTGTTAGCAGTGGGGAAGTAGAGTGATTGAGTAGCTTCAGTACCATAAACTACTTTTAGATCAAGTGAACTGTTTTAATTAAAAACAGCTTATTTTGAGTTGTTTCAAAGAAAAAATATCAGATCAGTATTTATACTCAAGCTTTCAATACTGGTAACAATTTTGGCAATATCTAGCTGCGATTTTTCCGATCAGTATTGTGATTACGATTTAAATTGTGATTGTTTTCTATAAATTGAGGTCAGCATACACTTCTTCTGGCTTGAGGGTTGAGGGCTTTACACACTTTGCCAGCCTACTAGGTATTTGTGTTTGTAATATCCCACCACATGGATGTTTGGTTGCTTCTGATTCGTCAAAAAAGCAGTTCACAAGCTCCACGTTATCATCTCTGATACATACATAAGCTTCTATTACTTGTTTGCTACATTAGCCTCAGTGCTTCAATGTGAAATTAAGGCTGGGAATATACTAAATGACATTAAAAATCATAGCAGATTTCTAAAATGGAGAGCATCACAAACTTAACATCAGTCTTTCATAGAATTTTTGTCTTTTGGTTGGCAAGGCACACACACTAGACAATAAAGCAAAGCGAGTATAACACACATACATTTACTAGGTAAAAAAACAAAAAATCCCAGAGCTGCCCCATTATCATGCTACACGAAGTTAAACTGGACTGGAAAAAAAACAAACTGAGGATGAATTGGCGGTTGAGAAACACAGATATCACTGTGAGAGCTGGAGAATATTTCACTACAAAATGGAAGCTGAACTGAAATTGTAAAGACAGTGGCTCGCCCTCTGTACAGACCGCCGGCATACACGTCTTGTTCCTCTACTCTTATAGCTCTCTTATCGGCTGTTTCCTGGTTGATTCAGGACACGTAAACGTTTTAAGTCATAATAATCAAACCTGTCTGAAAATATTAGAGGGCCTCAGATCACTCCAGTGTTCGAGTGAAGGGTTAAAGATTGACTAAAGTCAGATTGCGATCGCTTTAGCTGGTGAAGCTTTGTCAGGGGGGTTAATCAGGGTTTAAAATAGGCTAAACGTTGTATAATGTAGGTCTAAGGCAAACTTCAGATAGCAAACATGTTTTGGCTGACATGTGGGGTAAGAGAGGAAATAATGCAAATTCAGATTTCTGCCAAACTATTGTGTCAACATTCTCCTCATTTGGTGGTGAACTCTACTAAACTGTGTACAAAAATCACATTTGGACACTGCTAAATGTGTACATTAGTGAACCACAATGTTATTAGTAAATGACTGTGAGCTGTAAATGTCCTGGTGTGTTTAATAATGGAGGTACTGTAGAAGGACAGCTGCGCCTCACACACACACACACACACACACACACACACACACACACACACACACACACACACTTCACCCCCTTTCCAAACCCTGTAATTACCCTGCGTATCCCGGCCCTGCATCCCTCCCTCTGAGCTGTTCGCTGTTGTAGTTAATTCCCGTCCCATCGAACAGCCTATTGTCATTCACCACCTCTCGACCTCACACACTCACACACTCTCTGTCAGGGTATAGATACAGACACACACACACACACACACACACACACACACAGAAACTGTGTAAAACCATTTATCTGGGCAGTAAGTGTGTTCATGCTAGTAAAAACATTATATTAGGGAAAAAAACAAAAAAATTGTGGTGAAAAGTAACAAGATTTTCTTTTTTTTAGAAGTTTTTTTTTAGAGTTTTTTTATAGAAGAACAAATGTTTGGTTGCCAATTTCTCCACAATATTCCCAACCATCATATGGGATCCATCAGCAGCAGGCCTAATTTAATCTAATGGATTAATTAAATGGATTTAATGGACTGGATTGATTAAATAAATTAGGTTTTGGATGGGAACTGTAAATACTGGACTTCCTCAATCTGTGTGAATATTTCATAAGCAACTGACCAAGGGATTTTTTTTTATTTTGAAATGTTTTATTATGATAAAATGTTTTATTATGATGGTGACGGTATGAAAAATAAAAAAATTAAAAATATTTGTATTTCATTAGAATAAACCCCAAATTAACTGTATTTCTCTACTGAACATTTTACTGATCCTCATGTAACTGAGTGTTTGAGATGTAAACAGAGTGATTCAGAGTGGTTTGGTGTGAAATGGTTCAGATTTCTTTACAGTGGTTCTGATAGGAACCAGGGGTCACCATGTCTACAACACAAATACAGACATTTTATTTACTATCCAAAACCACCAGTGAACCTATACATGTCTTCTGAGTTTTATATGGAATGCTGATGATGGTAAAATAGTGGAAAATCTGAAATAATAAGTTTTCTTTGGGGATTATTTGGCCTCAAAACACCCTGCATATTATGTATCCCTCCACCATGAATAGATTTTAAGGCCAAAATCTTCTCAAAACTATCTTAAAAAATGTCTCAGTCATCAGGCGGTGAGTTCATAACCATTACATGTAATAACTTTCTGTGAGGGAGCTTTTAGAGGTGGACGTCTGGTTCCTATCATCACCACTGTGAACAATTCTGACTTGGCAAGTTTCTCTAGAACAGAGCATTTTACACCAAACCACTCT